TAGCGGGGATAATAGTATAAAAAAAAAAAACATGCCTAATTATATATTACTAAGGGCGCCAGATGTAAGCTAAGCAGTGCCTAAAAATCCAGGAATTAAAGCTAGCCACAAAGGGCTAACTAGGGGCAAAACACTATTAAGGGCAAAAGCTACTAAAGTTAGTATATAAAGAAAATAACATGCCTAAATATCCAGGGATTAAAAAGCTTAAATAAAGCTAAATTAGCCTAAAAAAACCGCCGGAGTTAGTAAGAACAGTAATATAAAAAAATAAAAAAATTAACATGCCTAAAAATCTAGGAATTAAATAGCCTAAATAAAGCTAAATTAGCTTAAATATCCAGGGATTAAAGTGCCTAAATAAAGCTAAAATAACCTAAAAAATTATTAAAGTTAGCGGGGATAGTAGTATAAAGGGATAAAAAAACATGCCTAATTATATACTACTAGAGCTAGATATAGGCTAAAAGGGGCTGGCTTTAGGAACTAAAGTACCTAAATATAGCTAAACTAGCCTAAATATTTAGGGATTAAAAAGCCTAAATAAAGCTAAACTAGCCTAAAAAATTACAGGAGAGCTAGTAAGAAAGGTGGCTATAAAAAACTAACTAGGGGTAAAATATTAATAAGGGCGCTAAATATAAGCCAAGCAGTGCATAAAAATTTAGGGATTAAAGTGCCTAAATAATAGCTTAAAAAATTACTAAAATTAGTGTATAAAAAAAATTAAAGAGCCTAAATATTTAGGAATTAAAAACCCTAAATAAAGCCAAGCAGGGTTGCTAGTATAAAGAAATAAAAAAATTAACATGCCTAAATATTTAGGGATTAAAAACCCTAAACAAAGCTAAATAAGGTTGCTAGTATAAAGGAATAAAGGGATTAACATGCCTAAATATTTAGGGATTAAAAACCTTAAGTAAAGCTAAACAGGGTTACTAGTATAAAGGGATAAAAGGATTAACATGCTTAAAAATTTAAAAATTAAAAAGTTTAAATAAAGGCAAACTAGCCTAAAAAATTACCAAAGTTAGCGGGGACGGTAGTACAAAGAAATAAAAAAATAAAGGGATTAACATGCTTAAAAATCCAGGGATTAAAGTGCCTAAATAAAGCTAAACTAGCCTAAAAAATTACTAAATATTAATAAAGGTAGTAGTAATAATAAAAAAATTACCCCTAAAAGCACTAAATATAATACAGGCAGCGCTAGAGTTAGGAATTAGTATAAAAATTAATATACCCTAAATAAAGCTTAAATAGCCCTAAAAACTATTAAAAATAGCAAAGGTAATAATAATAATAAAGGGATCTAACCTAGCTACGCGCAAAGATTAAATATATTATAAAAATAAAAGGTATAGGTCCCTAAATATAAAAATAAATATAAATACATGGCCACAAACACGGAACTATTAAAGGTAGTACCTAATGGTAAAAGCTAAAAGGCGGAGCAGGAAGGCAGAACCTAATAAATATAATAAAACATCCAAATATAAGGGAGGGGATTACTAAAAATTTTTATAATAAGTTACCCTTGTAGCTATAATATAAATATTATTAAATTAATAATTTAATACCCTGCCTTAATAACTTTTATACTTATAACTATAAATTATATATTTATATATTAATTAAGAATTATAAATAATTTTATAAGCTTATTATAAAAGCTTTAATTAGCTATTTAATTAAATATAAAAAAAATAATAATAAGATTTTTTAAGTATAAGTTTTAAAAAAGCGGGTTTACTACTTAAAGCATGTTTTATTTAATAAATTAAAGTTTTATAAAAATAATTATTTACTTAATACTATATTTATAAAGGGTGTCCTACCTTAACTTAATAAATTAATACCAGGGGCTACTATATATAATACTAAACTTAATAATATATTTATTTTTAAGTTAATTTTAATAATCCAGGCGCTTAAAATACTAATTACTAGCTAAATTTAAATTATATTTTTAACTTTATAATATTAACTAACTTTAATACTATGTAATAATATTAAATTAAAATTACTTGCCTTATTAATATTAAAATATTAGGTTAACTTTATTTTAGTATTAATATAATACTTACATGCTAAAAATATAAAAATCTTATTAAGGTAGTTAATTAATAATAATAATAATAGTATTAACATGCCAAGCCTAATCTTATTAAATTATTATAATAATCTTAATTTAGTAACGCCATCTTAATTTTTAATAAAAAGTATTAATATTATAATAATACCAGCTTATATACTATTATTAATAAATTTTATTAATTAATTCTAAATATAAATTATATTATTTTTACTAGTAACCTAAGCCCTACTTACTTTGCGCCCTTAAAAGCTTAAAAATAACCTTAATTTACTAAAATTAATACTAAATAATATTTAAAATATATATAAATAAATTTTTAAAATAAACTATTTTAAGCCACATGTATTTAATATAAATACTAATATAATACTAAATATACTAATTAATTAAAATTTAGGGATATTAAATTATAAGATACCAGGCTAATTTTTTAATTAACTAAAGGTTTTAATAATAAAGGCCACCTTATATAAAATAAATATAAATATTAATATTTTTAATATAATAATTATTTTATTAACTAAATACCTTAAACCTTATATTAACTATAATTTATTAATTAAAGTAACCAAGCATGTTAATACTAAAGTTATTAAAATATTTAATAAAATAATTTAGTATTTACTTACTAAAAGGTTTTAAATATTAGCTAAAGCTAAATTATATATTAATAATATTAAAGTACTAAGATTTTATAAAAAAGTATAGTAATTTATTTTTTTAATTAATAAAAAAAAGCTATATTAATTTATATTAGCATGGTAGTTACTATAAACACGTGAAAGCTTGTTAAATAATTAAAAAAGGCTAAGATTATTTTTAGTAAGTAAGTATTTATATTTAAAAATAATAAAAATAGCTTTATTTTATTATTTAAGGCTTAAATTATTACGTGTGGTAACTACCAAGTTACTAGATTAAATTATAATAAAAGCTTTTATTTAGTTATAGCTAATATAATAGTTAAATATATATTAATAGTTATAATTATTTAAAAGCTTAGCTAGTGCTAATTTAATATTATTAATATCTATTTTAATATAAAAATAATTAATTAAAAAGTTTATATATAATAGTCACATGGCCACAGGATTAGTAATAACCTTATATATAAAGTATAAAAAGCCTTATTTAGCCTTTATAACTTTGTATACTTATAAAACTAAAAATTTAATTAATTATTACATGCTAAGGGCTTTAAGCTACTTATTAAAAAATTTTATATATATATATTTAAAAGTTACTTTACGCGCTAATTATTACCTATATAAATAATAATATTATTACTAGTAAGATAAAGGCTAATATAAATAATATTATTAGCTTTTTATAAAAGATTTATAAATTTAAAGTTAGTAATAAATTAATTAAATTTTTTAAATTAATAATATCCCGTAATTATAAAAATAGGATAATTTATTTTTTTAAGTTATATATATAAAATAAATAGCTTAATATTTTAGCCTTACTAAGGCTAGGCCGGCAAAAATACTAATAATAAAGAAATATATTAAAATTATATAAAAGGTTAATTAATTAAATATTATAAATTTTAATATATTTTTAATTTTTAATACCTTTAGTATTTATACTTTTACTTAATTAATTAAATTTTTTAACTAGCTTAAAAAAACCCGTGTTAACCTTATATACTTAATTTAATTTTTATAATATTAATAAAAATTTTTAATTATTAATAACATGGTAGCTACCAAGCACGTGGTTTATTATATTATAATTAATTAAAGTAATTTAGTACTTACTAAGACCTATATAAAAAAAATAATTATTTATTTTAATATATTTTATTAAAATTATTTTAATAAAAAGTTTATTAAGGGCTTTATTATATATTTTTATAAGTTTTTTATTATATAAAGTTTAAAAAAATAAATAGTTATAATACCTTTATTTACTATAATAAAATTTTTAATATTTAATAAGGCTATTAAAATAGCTTTATTTATAAAAAAGCTTGCTAAGGCGCTTAAAGTATAAAATAATAAGTTAATTATAATATACTTTAATAATACTAGTGCTATTATTAATATTACTAGTTAAAAAATTTTAATTATTATATATTAATTAATTAATAAATACTTTTTTATATAAAATATTTATAAGTAATACCTTATAAAGTTTTACCATGTGCTAGGAAAAAAAAACCCTATAAATAAAATAATTAAATTATTAAAAGTAATTAAGTTTATTAAATTTTAAAATATAACAGGCCTTAAAAAAGCCCTTTAATTAATAAATTAAAAGTATAAAAGTTTTATTATTTTTATTTTTAGTAATATTTCCTATTTAAAATATATATATAGCTTTATAGTATAGCCATGTATTACTTAATTAAAAAGTATATTAAATACTTAAAGGGCTAGCGCCTAAAACATGCTTATTTTAATTAAAACTAGCGTAGTATATAATAATTAAGGTTTTCTTATAACTTATTACTTACTACACATAAATAATCTAGAGGTTTATTATAAGCAACGCTATTGGCTAGTCATTAACATCTTTCTGCATATTTGTAGGCGGTGCGACCAGATATGTCGAGGCTTGGGTTGGATCATACGCGAGGCATCACAGAGGATTTAAGAGTCAATCTCCGAGGCTTACAGCAATCGGGAGTATCTCCAAGGCCAAAGCTTCTCACATCAGCCGCAGCAAAGATTGGAAGGATATAGATCAAACGCCGGAATTGAAAGAAGGCTGACGCCAAGCCCGGTCCGGACTTACCGTATCGAGATCGACAGTATCTCCGGCTAGCACTCCGAGTCCGGTCAGCGCATCATGATTTGCACCAGGATCTCCTTTAAAGCGGACGTTCCTCGCATCGTCGACGTCGTCGTTCTTCCCCGCCTCCGGTAAGCACCATAGCCTCAGGCTTTGAATCACAATGCGCCTCATTCTCACTGGCGCCACAGGCGTCGTCGGCTCTGCAGCCCTCAACCACATCCTCAGCCTCCCAAAGGGTGAGATCTCCGCCTTGTATATCCTCAGTCGCAGTCCCGTGCCTACAGCCGAAGACAAGCCAAATGTTACGGTTATCCAGCACAAGAACTACAACGAGTATCCGCCTGAGCTGTTGGAGAAATTGAAGGGAGCGGATGGATGTATTTGGGCGCAGGGCATTTCGCAGACGTTGGTTTCGAAGGAGTAAGCCCCGCCTCTCAATGGTGAGAGTCTATGGGCCCTGGTCTGACAATTGCAGGGATTATATCAAGATCACTCTCGACTACCCCCTTGCTGCGGCAGAGGCTTTCTCGACACTGTCAGACTCGTTCAACTTTGTCTATGTATCTGGGGAGGGTGTACGTCCACCCCTTAATTCCCTTTGCACGGAACGCCTTCTCACTAACACCGTCAATCAGGCAACGCAAACCCCCGGCATGTTTACACCACTCTTCGGCCGTACAAAAGGACAAGCTGAGTCGGCACTTCTGGATCTAGCCAAGAAATATCCCAGTCTGAAACCCTTCTCCGTGCGCCCTGCCTATGTAGATACAGCGAACGACCCCGAGACTCTAAAAGCCAGGCTCCAACGGCCAGAGCAGCAGTCTTTCAAGGCAAAGGCGCTGCACGCTTTCTTTGGTCCGTTGATGCGGAATGTGCTCACGAAGAGTGATTCGCCCACGGAGCACCTGGGCAAGTTCTTGACGGATCTTGCGAGGGGCGATGGAAAACTGTTACCTGAGCAGGGAGTTGCTGGAGATGGCAGGATCATTCCGAATGTCGTTTTCCGAAAGATCGTTGGGCTTTGACTTATCCAAAGATCTTCCAGCTGTTAGGGGCATTATGCGGGTTTGCGTCAAAGCGTTTTCGGATTGGAGTTATACTTGTGGTTTTATCCTAGCTGGATTTCTCCTCTACTTAGCCTAATGGTAGACCTCAATAAGGCTGGTGATGTTCAGTTTTATTCGACAGTCCCGAGGTCCTGAGTCATACCTTACAGAAATAGATCCTGGTGTCGATGCAAGCTGTGGTGATCATTTCAGCGTGAGCACAGCCCTCCTACCTTCGCTACATCAACCCTTTTTCATCCTTACAGCCTCATTACTAGAGATCCGGCATTGTCAATCTTGTTTGATCTCTGGTCGATCTCACTCACCTATCATGCCTTCCCCTTTGCCTCCACCAAGACTCCCCACGGAGATCCTTCTCCTGATCATCAAACACGCCGTCGAAATTTGGCCAATACCAGAAATCTTCAGAGCACGCCTTGTCAACAGTGAGTTCCTATCAAACAAGAAGAGCACCTTCTCATTTATGTATCTACTTTTGCGAATCAAATCTTCACCTTCCTCATTGATACGGACCGCCTAGAGGAGGAGCATTACATCGAAAGAAGCCGCTTCAGCTATCACTCATGGGATTGTTGGTCTTGGGGCTACTTGCCTCAGCCTCTAAAGCGCCAATATTTTCGCAAGAAGATCAACCGCCACGATGAGCGACCCTGTGGTCTCTCGCAAGCTGTGCACAATATTCTGGATGATACTGAGGCAAGTCTGAGGCGAGTAACATCAGATAGAGACGTGCAGATTCAACTCATAATCGACGCGATGGTTCCAGCGTATTCTCCTCACTTAGCATCATATCTGGACTCGGATTTACACAAGCGTCGCAAGGAAACGTGGGATTCTTACAGAAAAGTCTGCGATTATCAAAGTGCCCAAGTGAAGATCATGCTCATGCTCGATGCAATCTGGCGCAATGATGCAGTATACCTGCAGATGCTGCTCGATGAGAAAAGTGCCAGATTACATGTGACCTGGAGCGACCTCGGGGCATACTATCCATTGTTCTTGGCGGCGCGAGAGGGGACTGGCGCTATCATGGAAACACTTCTGTTGTATGGGAACTGGACATCAGCATGGATACCCAATTTCAAGAGGATCTTTGCAGCGGCGGACGCAAAGGGGCCACTGAGGATTGCTATTCAGCGTGGCAATCGAGACGTCATAAATACTTGGCTAGACGACTCACGAATATCTCGGGGCTCAGCAACTCTTCCCTGGACAGGCTTTTGCATTGTATACATTAATATGGCTCGAATCGGAGATCTAGAGATGATCGAGTATCTGGATGAAAGATCTAGCCGGTACGGGAATGACACCGAGCCTCTGCATTTTGAAGCGTTTGTGGAGGCAATCAAGCATAGTCATGTGGCCGTTGTAGAATGGTTGTGCAACACGGCGGACTTTGATGTTGACCAAGAGACGATCGAATATCCCAAAGGCTCGCTGTTTACAGCTTTCCAGGACTGTCCTCCAGCCCATATGTATCGAATGATCGAGATGATCTTGCTGAATGGGGCTGATCCAAACCGTACATATCCAGCGGTGACGGGGACTCCACTGCAGGCCGCACTCCAGATGAATGGGCTGGATAAGCAGGGGATCGTTGATCTCCTTCTATTACATGGCGCTGATCCCAACGCTCGCACGCGAAAAGGTGTACGACGAATGAGAGCACCCTTGCTTTACGCTGCCAGAAGGGGAGAGGTGGACCTTGTCCGTAAGTTGTTCAAGCACGGGGCCGATACTCGAGTCATCTGTCGACGCTTGACCGTCACAATGAGGCAAGGCGAGGGAATATAAGGGAGGGGGTCAATGAGATGCTGGTGGAGTTTGGCTGGGAAGAGAGGTTTCGTGATTGGGTCCGGAAAAGGCAATCGGATTAGTGCATGCTCAACATGTCTCTGCCTATCTATATATGATACACAAGCTATTTATCACTCCAGTCCTGGTACGCAGCTTCTAGCTAGGATCTGAGATGCCTGATCCTCCTTCATCATTTGCTTCCACTATCTCTCATGTCTTGACCTTTCATCCTAGTCTGGTAAAACGAAGCCCTAAATGGCTCATTGGACTTGCTCCTTAATACCTGAAGCTAGAAGTGGGCATTTGTCAACAAGGCGAAGACGAAAACGTGCTCAAGCTTGTGGTTGAAAGCCGCGGCAAACCTCTGCGTCAACTCGAAAGCACTGCTAAAAGTACAGTGCTCTTAGCAAGGCGAGGAACAGAGACCCCGATGCCCCGGGACTCCGCCAATAGAACGAGAGCATCAAGGCCGGTTCAAGGCTATGAACGAAAGAAGGGGGCAGTTTGACGAAAATAAGTAGCGAGCTCTCAATCTATATAGACAGCTTGAGCTTGCCGCTTGGCATCACAGTGCAGTGCACCTGTCTGTACATGATATATAGCAACAATTAAGAAGTCTTGGCCCTTGATTATATCGATTGCGTTGGCTATACTACTGCGGATGGAGCCCTTCATGATCTGCTTGCAGCACATGATAATCTACGAGAAGATCCCCATGGAACTGTAACTACGCCCAAGACAAAACGGTTGAGCTGGACGCACCTAGCTGTACGGGAGCTTTCTTTAGACAAGCCTCCATGGTCCATACAGAGCACCTTCAAGTCACCGACGCCGATGTATGCATCCTCGGGACTCGCTCTTGTCAACGGACAGCCACTGCAATTAGCCAGGGACGTAAGTATACTGTTTTGTTCATTAGTTTACGGCAGGCGCTTCGTTTAAGCTGGATGGAAGTACCAGATTCCTTGCTCGGTTCCTTCTCATCTGTCGAGCTATTAGTTTCAGGAATCCCACCCTCGTCGTGCAGATGGATAGAGTCGGCGTGAGAAGAATCTTTAATTATGCTCAGGGCTTCAGCGTTTTACCTAGGCTTCTGGGATGTGGCTGGTGAGTGGGACCCAAAATTCGGGTTCTTGTCCCCCAGTCGGCCGCAGCTGAGTTGTGTTCTGATCTTCGCCGATTATACTTGACTGATAATGTGCTAAGGCCTCATCGAGTGAACGTATGCTACCGCTAGGTCTGGAAAGTATCCGAAATGGAGCCAAAGGGTGGCTATAGAATCTATAGAGTAGGAATGTAGAAGAGCTCTGACGGCCGTAAGAACAGGTACATCCGTCTCTACCTTCCATATCAATGGAACTAGAGTGAGGGTCGTTCTAGTTTGTTTACAAGACAGACTTGGATGGTCGTTAACCATGGTCGACGAATTATAGTATTCGCATATCCTTCTCAGTCCACATTTAATGCCTAAGATGAATTGAACAGTGCCAGATGACCGCCAGAAGAGAACAGAGTATGATGAGAATTAGTTAAATTGTAGCTTGGTCTAGCATAGTCTCTCTGCAGTTTCTGAGAATGTTGCCTCGTAACCGCAAAGGACAATCCAAGAGTAGGTAACTAATAAAACAACAAGAAATGGACCTGAAAACATTTGTCAAAGTACTCGATAGATAGACAGTACTTGCATACATCGATTTATCGATTTATACCAAAGCGTGCGTCTATGCCTTGGACTTCTCAGCCTAAGATTGCCGAATTAGTCCACGTACTTGACCCCGTACTCATGTAATCAGACGGGGTACTCACCGGGGCAATAGTCTTCACCGACCCAGCCACCTTGGTGATGACAGGCGTCGATGTCCGAGTCTTGATCGCCATGGAGAGGGATCTAGATGGCGAAGGGATCGCAGAAGAGGAATCGATGTATGTGCTGCCACTACCCGCGCCTGGCGCCTCGATGCATACATCGTATCCGGGAAGAAGGTTCGCACATACATCTTTTCCGACGTCCTTGTCCACTAGGTCGGGATTCCAGTGGAGGAACTCGTCCATGGTTATCGCATTTGCAGCGACAATGTCCTCGCATGTATCCTCACTGCACATAAGAAGAACAAGGTTAGATTCGATCGGGTAAGATAGGCACGGGATGGAGGGTGGGGATAACTTACATCGAGACAGGCCAGAAGAAAGTGCATGTCTTTATGACATTTGGTTGACGCGGTAGTAGGGAGGTTGGCGATGCGGTTGGAAGGGGACCTATGGGAGTTGTTGGGGTGTCAGGGACTGCGACGCAGTAGTAATGATCCTTCTGCAACCCATTACAAGTCTGGAAGACGGACGGGTTCCACTTGATAAACTGCTCAGCCGAGAAGGTGCCGAACTTCAAGGCGATCAAATTGCAGCTGTCGTCCGCCGTTGCCTTGTACCAAGCAGTGCACTCCTTGACTGTGTCTGTGTCTGTAGGGGATGGCGCGCCGGTCACGGTTGGCGGTGCGTGGTGCTGACCATTGGGGAAGGCTGCGACGCAGTAGTAGTAGCCCGCCAAGATACCCGAGCAGTCGTCCTTGAGCGCGGGATTCCAGTCGTGAAGTTCCTTCTCGGTCAGGTAGTAGTACTGTTTCAGGATGCTCGAACAGGTGTCGCCCTGGCGAAGTCAAACAGTTAGCTAGCTGATCATCATGTATGACTAGGGTATATGCAGCTAAAAAATCAAGGTGGATAGGGAGGCACTGTGTTTACCTTTTCAGCCTGGTAATACGCCTGGCAGCCGGTCGCCAGTCCGTCCTGAGTGGGTGAAGCCGTCCAGGTAGGAAGGTTCGTAGGAAACTCCGTGGGCGTATGGACTGTGGGCTCTGGGATTGAGCCATTGTTGTATCCGGTAGGGTAGTCAAATGACAATGTGGTCCGGGGAACGATACCAACACACACCCACCAGTCAATAAAAGGATAATCACAATCCACAGCGAGGCCTGGGTTCCATTCTAGCCTGTGGCATAAGGCGATGTGTTAGCAAATAAATCTATATACTCAAAGGTAGAGAAAGAGGAGACATACAGCTGATCATACGAACACCAAACAGCATAACGCGACTGGATCGTGTCGCACGTATCACCAGCCACGACTTTATGCCACTTGTTGCAGTAGTCAGGCTGGCCCGGCATCGTGTGCGTCGGAGGCCAAGTGTCGTTCGTGCGAGTCGGGTATGGGGACGGACTGGGCGTTGTTATGGGGTTGATGATTGTGTAGCTGCCGAAAGGTGGTCCGCTGGTTGTGATGACAGGAACAGAGCTGGCGGGCTTAGTAGTGGAAGAGGTAGCCGTAGAGCTGTCGGTGTCACTAGAATCTGTGGACGTGTAGCCAAAGGAGCTGGTCGAGTAGGGCAACGAGCTGGTGGAATGGGCCGAACTGGACGTAGACGAGCTAGACAAACTGGTCGAACTAGAAGAGCCATTCGATCCAGACGAGGTAGATGACTTGGAAGAAGTGGATGAGCTAGACGAAGTGGTACTGGTGCTAGCAGTGCTGGTGCTGGTGGTAGGCACAGGGACGTCCCCAACACCAACACAGTACGCATACTTGGCCCAGAAATTAGTTTCACAGTCCGCTTTCAAAGACGGGTTCCACTTGTAAAAGTCCTCGAGAGAAATGCCAAAAAGAAGAGTGACCTGGCCGCAAGTATCTCCAAGCTGGGCCGTGTACCATTTAACACAGTTGGCAGGGGTTCCAGGGCGAGTTGGGCCAGAGGGAGCAGTTTCACCAGGGGGCACATCCTTCAAAGCTGATGCATGATGCTCCTTGGTAGCTGATGCTGCGAAGACAGAGGTAAGAAGGAATGCTAGCACCAGGTAGTGCAGTAGCTTGTTGGGGAAGAACATGGTGGGTGTTCGCATTCAGGGAAATGATAGATTGAATAGGGCTTGAGAGATGAGTTGGAAAGAGGAAATCAGAGAGAGTGAGGGAGGCTTTGGATGGGAAGGGAGAGACGTTTATATGTCCGAAGGTCAAGAGTTCAAGAGCTAAGCAAGGAAGAGTGAGTAACACTAAGGTGTATTCACAAATCCAGTGAAGAATCTGCGGAAAAATAATTCACAAGAGAGGCAGCCTAGCCAATAGGTAAGCATATTCATCCTTGCCATTCAAAATGGATCTGTATTGTAAGTGGTCATTCACTGAGAAACACAACGCCTTGATTCACTCAAACATAGCACGTGACAAGATATTTGGAGCTGTGTTAACTCAATGATTGTATGTAGAAATTAGTTGCAGCGACGTACATTCTTTATATGAATTTGTAGTAGGAACGGGCCAGTGTGTTTTGAAAATGCAAATCCCGGATGATAAGACAAATGCAAGAGTTCCAGCCTCGAGATACAGTGAGATGACGGACAAAGGTTTTTCAAATCATGAGGCAATCCCAAGGAGCACGGTCGATGTAGGAAAGCGACAATATCAACCAGGATAAGAAAGAAAATACATAAGGGGGAGTGAATACAAATGGTCGAAGAACGAATACGCCCTGCCGATGCAAGTCATCAGAAACACGGTGGCCCGTAAAGATTTTAGCAGTCAATCGCAGAAACGGATGATAAGGTGAACCATGGTGCAGGGATTTTACACGGCTCCCATATAGTCGCCGCGCCGCTGCCAAGATGCAGAGTTCGGAGCCGGCACTCCGCCAGGGGTAGGGGCAGCACGGAAAGGCAGGGCGGTGCTCTGCAGAGGCATCCGCGAATTCGTGTTATGTGAGCTGGCCGAACGGGATCCTATGGAAGGTCGTAGGGACTGATCTAAGCTGGAACTCGTATCGCCCAAAGGGGTCCGGGACGGACGACGGGTCGGTCGATGCTCATCTTGTTTCGACTCGAGAGAGAGGTGCTCCAGTGAGATCGGTGGCGAGGAGCGGTTCGAACGTGATGGGTAAGGCGAAGGGTTTGGAGGGTAATGCGATTGATTCGACGGGTATTGCGATTGGTTCGAGGCGTAGTGCGATTGGTTCGAGGAGTAGTGCGATTGGTTCGAGGGTGTATGTTGCCGATGTTGTGGGGGGATGTCGCGAGCTACGTTAAGAGGAATTTCTCCGGTTGCGCCGCGCGATGGTCTGCTGGGCACGTGCTTTTGAACAGGCGATGGGGCTTGGACGGGTGATGAAGTCTCCCTACTTTCCTTTAGGGACTTCGGCGCAGGGGGTGCCAAGTAGGACTTTCGGTTATGTCGCTCCATCATGCTGATAGCCCACTCTTGAAGGTCGACTGGAGTTCGCTTGGCGGCTTGCAGGAACGCATCTTTCTCCTATATTGCAGGTTAGAGAATGGCTATACAACAAAGAACAGGTATACGGACGTATAGCTCAAGAGGGGTCGGTCGCTCTTCAGATTTCTTGAGTAGACATTTTGCAACGAACTCATGCAGAACGGGTGGGAAGGCGTCACTCCTAGGCAGCTTAGGGGCGGGTTCGTGGACGATTTGCTGGAGAAGGTCCAGAATTCCCATAGGCCCCGCGCTGGCCCGGTCTCCAGCCGCGGAATCACTCGCATCAAACGGGAACCGGCCGACTGCCAATTCCATGACAGTCAACCCCACACTCCAGACATCCGAGCGAACAGTGTAGGCGCCACCCTGGATACGTTCAGGAGCCATATAGGTTGAAGTCCCAACGAATGTGTCTGCAATAGAGTTGACTGTTTCGGTTGCGACACCAAAGTCGCACAACTTAATGTTGCCGCGGGAGTTCACAAGGACATTGGATGGTTTGATGTCGCGATGCATGATGCGGTGGGCTTCGTAAAGATACACCAAACCCGCCAGAATAGACTCAGTGATCTTTCCCAGTACATCCACTCGGATAGGCCCAAAGTCTTTTGAGATGCGATCGAGTGAACTGCCGAGTCGTTAGTATCACGCTAAAAGGCGTCAAGAATATTGGATACTTACCCACAATCCATATATTCCATGCACAACACTATGTCTCTTGCTTCGTTTTGGAAAGCTCCGTAGAACGTCACAATGTTCGGTGAGTTGCAATCATGACCGACTTGGAGCTCTCGCAGAATCTGCTTCCTCACGTTCTCTTTCGCGTCGACCCTGATAATCTAACAGCGTTGTCAACCAAGTTCGACCACCATAACACATTGTAGTCTTACCTTCCGGGCCATAACGACCTTGGTCGAAGCGTGCATAACTTTAGAGACGGTTCCTCCATTTCCGGCACCAAGTTCTTTTAGAGTAACTAGATCCTCGCTACGAAGATCCAATCTAAACTCCAAACCAATCTCCAGGGTATCAGTGCGAGTAGCTTCGCCGTTACCAGCAGCTCCGGGAGCCTGGGCGTCTCCGTTGGACGGTGTCGATGTAGGTTTCGGGGCAGCGTTCAGCGCAAGACCCTTGACGTTCTTGCGCTTCAGAGTTCGCGCTTTGAATTGATCGGCCATCGTTACGGCGACTGGGGATCAACACCGGGAATGAGGGGTCAAGCGGCGAAGAAATTCGAGCAGAGAGGATATCGACAGAAATAGGAACCGGAGCACGAGCCGTACGAGCAGGGCAGGTCAACCGTTCGTGACAAAACCGTGAGCCACCCAGGTGGATTGTTCGTTGGGCGCCAGATGCAGACAAGTGCCGCAGGTCCAAGCCAACAAGGTGGGGGTTTCCCCTGGACCTAGCTGCGACAGTCGGTGTCAGATAGTCAGTCTCTTAACGTTGTCCTGAAGCCCGCCAAGTAGGGATCGACGCAACTGCGAGATGCTTTAGGTGAAAAATCAACAAGACGATAGTATCGGCAACCGGGGAAGTGAGGAACATCCGACCGAAGGGGACGACGGACGATGGACGGATTTCAGGACGACCTAATGCTGGTGGAGCTCGGGCGGAGATAGAGGGAATTGGCAAACACAGGCGCCTAGAGGGCTTGGCTAGATAGCTAACCCCGTATTAAATATTGATTGAATAGAGGCTCCAACACAACTATTGTTATCTTAAATAACAAATTGAAGCTATACTGAGGCTATTTGTTTGTAGACTGAAGATCACTCCAGTGAGTTTAGTCCTAACAAAGGTAAATACGGAGTAGATGTACTTTCTTTCAACGGAACCGTGCTGGCACTCAGATTCTGATCTCAGATATGGCTATTACGGAGTACGGTACAGAAGAATACTTCTAGGTCTCCTACAGACATTCAAGAGCATCAAGCACCACACTGACTGTCAAGAACTTGACCAGGGTTTTAATGTGAGGCTGGACGTATGCCGCTGCTTTGATACATAGTAGAGCAGGTATCAAGCACGTGATGCATTAGCCACAGAAGCAGCCACCTGCATTAGGCGGTGAGAAAGTCAGCCTCACAACCAGAAAAGAGTCCGGCCAACCAGCCATCCATGCCGGAGGTCGTTCTTTGAGCTCCCCAGACTTTCGCAACGCAAACTTCTCGTCGAGGTGGTGACTCGTCTTTATAGATCTTTCGCGCTTCTTGGACATAAAGCGCTTCTTAGTTCATCGCGGCGCATTGCCTCACTCGTACCTTCACGAACCCTTCCATCTCGCCTCTAGAAAGTCTGACAACCCACGATGAGCGCCCGGGACCTCGTGGAGGGGGAGGCCATGTTGGACGATGAGGAGAATGAGGAGGAGCTTGTTGATGAATATGGCGAAGGCGGAGAACGCCTCGGTAGAGGTGGCAATCATTACGATTCAAGCGAGGAGGATGAAGATGAGGATGATGACGAAGAGGCAGCTCGCGCTGTAAGTTACATCTCCACAGCATGATGCGCGCTTTAGCTCTCGTCGTTTGTACTAACCAAAGGCGATGGCTAGGTCCGAGAAGGATTCATTGTCGACGAAGACGAAGAAGAGGACGACCGCGAGCATCGCCGACGGGAGAAAAGGAAACGAAGACGCGAAGAACGAGAACGCGAAGATGAACATCTCGACGCTGAAGATCTTGAACTGATCGGCGAGCTCAATCCGGGGCTCCAATCTGCAGCTGCAGCAGATGTATGATTTCCTCGAGATTACTACTAATCGGACGAGACGAATTGCTAACAGGCTGCAGTCGAAATTCAAGCGCCTCAAACGCGGTCATAAAGATCGAGATTCGCGGCAGCCGTCTCAGGCCATTAATGACTTCTTCAACTCCGACGAAGAAGATGAGCCCGCACCAGACTACCACAGGCACCCAAGGCATCCGGGCGATGAGATGGACGATTTCATCGAAGAAGATGTGTTCTCGGACGATGAAGGAGTAGAAAAGGAAGATTTAGAGGTTGCCCGTCCCAGGAAATCTATTGGCTTTGGGGCCACGGATACCACTGGCCTTGACGAGAACGCTCTTGATGACATGCGCGCTGCTTTTGGAGATGGAAACGAGTACGATTTTGCTCTTGCTATGGAGGAGGAAGAGGAGCAGCAAGAGGAAGATGTTGAAAAGCATTTAGACCTCAAGGATGTCTTTGAGCCGTCGCAACTTGCCGAAAAGATGTTGACCGAAGAAGATAACCAAATTCGCATGGTAGACGAGCCTGAACGACATCAGATTGCGCGCAAACCTTACCGCAATGTTGTATTAAGCGAAGACCAATTCCGAGAAGAAGCCGCCTGGATTTCAAACCTCATGCTCCTGAAGAAACGGCTTGAGCCAGAGCTTCGCGAACCGTTCCAGCGCTCCGTGGCTAAGGTTCTGGAGTTTCTCGTCACCGATGACTGGGAGGTACCGTTTATTTTCCAACATCGGAAGGATTACATGATTCACACAGTCAAGGTCCCCGTAGATGGGGCTTCAGCAGACGATCCAGGCGCTCAATATACAATCCGGGCAGAGAAGTTGCTGAACATGACCGATTTGTGGGATATTTTTGACCATGACCTCAAGTTCAAAGCCCTGGTTGAAAAACGCAACACTATCCAAAAAACATATGACAACATCCGAGCGGTTTTCTCAGTCGACGACTCGATTGTGGAGGAAATGCTACCCGTAGCAACTACCATGGAGGAGCTACAGGACGTCCAGGATTATCTTCATTTCCAGTACGCCTCGCAGATAAGAGATCTGACCCTCACCAACGGAGACGCTACCGGGGAAGTCCAAAGACGAAAGGCGCTCACGAGGAACTTTTTCGAGCGTGTCCGAAATAGCAAGGCGTATGGTCTCGTACGCGCGTTTGGTATCTCAGCAGATGCATTCGCTCAAAACTGCTTGAAAGAAGGCCGTCGTCAATACACGGAAGATCCTTCTGAGCGTCCGGACGACATGGCGGATGGGTTCGTTGATAATGATTTCAACAACTCATCGCAAGTAGTCAAGGCGGCCAAGGGTATGTTTGCAGAGGAAATTGTGATGAGTCCTAAGATGCGCAAAGTCATCCGCCAAGCTTACTACATGAATGGTGCCGTGGATTGCTTCCGCACTGAAAAAGGCCTGCGGCGCATTGATGAACAACACCCATACTATGAATTCAAGTATCTGCGAGACCAACAACTTAGCGATATCGCGCGCAGCCCAGAACTATTCCTCCGCATGTTGAAGGCAGAAGAGGAAGGTCTGATCGAGGTCAAGGTGCGATTTGAGAACTTTGAAAACTTCCGCAAGCGGTTATACCCCAACATCGAGTCGGATAACTACAGCGAACTCGCAGACTCTTGGAATCGTATGCGACGCGAAGCTGTTGATTTAGCTCTAGGAAAGCTAGAGCGCGTGATCAACCGCAGTGTTAAGGAGAACATTCGCCAGGAATGCGAAAATCATGTTGCAAAAGAATGCCGAGAGGCTTTCTCTCAACGCTTGGATCAGGCCCCATATAAGCCGAAAGGTATGATTTTGGGTACGGTTCCTCGCGTCTTGACGCTGTCCACAGGCACCGGAGTTGTCGGCCGAGCCCCCATTCATTGGTCTTACGTTGAGGAGGACGGTCGGGTCCTTGAAAACGGCAAGTTCACCGACTTGTCTTTGGGTGACAGGGATCGCGGCATTGCCGACGGCAAAGATTTGGACGCCCTGGTTGAGCTTGTTAATCGCCGTCACCCGGATGTCATTGGTGTGTCGGGCATGTCTCCCGAGACTCGACGATTATACAAGTTATTGACTGAAATTGTGGATACGAGGGACCTGCGCGGCGCTTTATACACTGATGACCGTGATGAGGAGGTCAGCGACCGCCTTGATGTAGTGATCGTTAACGATGAAGTGGCACGGCTTTATCAAAACAGTGAGCGGGCGAAGAAAGACCATCCCAGCTTCGCTCCCCTTACCCACTACTGCGTAGGGCTTGCCAAGTATCTGCAGAGTCCTCTGAAGGAGTATGCCTCGCTCGGTCGGGACATTGTGTCGATTCAGTTTAAGCCGGGTCAGCAGCTGGTGGCACAAGAGTTACTGCTGAAGCAGCTCGAAACCGCGTTGGTCGACATGGTAAACCTGGTTGGGGTTGATATTAACGAAGCTGTCTCGGACCAAGCTACAGCTAACCTTCTCCCGTACGTCTGTGGGTTGGGTCCCCGCAAGGCAGCACATCTTCTGAAGATAGTAAACATGACTGGAGGTGTGGTCAACAGTCGGTTTGCATTGCTTGGAGTGGGAGTGCAGTATCCGGCCATGGGAGTCAAGGTATGGAACAACTCGGCAAGTTTTCTTTACATCGACTATGAGAGCGCAGATGCGGATGCGGATCCCCTCGACAACACCCGAGTGCATCCGGAAGACTACGATATTGCTCGCAAGATGGCAGCGGACGCATTGGAGTTGGACGAGGAGGATATCAAGGCAGAAACAGATGATAATGGGCCTGGTGCCATTGTGCGCAAACTTTTCCGACAAGATGATCAGGACCGCGTGAACGACCTAATTCTCGAGGAATACGCAGAACAGCTTGAGAGGAACCTCAACCAGCGCAAGCGGGCTACACTCGAAACGATTCGCGCAGAACTCCAGCAGCCTTACGAAGAACTGCGAAAGCAATTTGTTTTCCTCAGCACAGATGATATCTTCACCATGCTCACTGGTGAGACAACAGAGACGCTTGCGGAGGGCATGGTTGTACCGATCTCTATCAAGAGCATCAGGGACGACCATATCGAAGGCAAGCTGGACTGCGGTGTGGACGCACTTGCGGGAGAATCAGAAATGACAGATCGCTACGACATCCCTGTTAGGGCTATCTACTCACTCCACCAGACTGTACCAGCCAAGGTGATGTTCCTGAATCGCAAGACCTTTACGTGTAACGTCTCGCTTCGTGAGGAGCAAGTCAGCCGGCCATCTAGGCCAGCTGCCGACCGAGCACACGCAGGCGAATGGGACCATCGCCAGGAAGATCAGGATCGGGAAGCTCTCGAGGCCAAGACACAGGACGGCGGACGGACGATGCGTGTTATCAAGCATCCGCTGTTCCGGCCGTTCAACTCCACGCAGGCAGTGGAGTTCCTCGGATCCCAAAGTCGCGGCGATGTAGTTATCCGACCGTCTTCAAAGGGACCCGACCACCTGGCCGTCACCTGGAAGGTGGCTGATGGCATCTTCCAACATATCGATGTGCTAGAATTGGACAAGGAAAATGAGTTTTCTGTTGGGCGTACGCTGAAGGTCGGAGGCCGATTCACGTACAGTGATCTGGACGATCTGATCTTCAACCATGTCAAAGCCATGGCCAAGAAGGTAGATGAGATGATGCTGCATGAAAAGTACCAAGAGGGCAGCAAAGACACGACCTGTACGTCACATTCCCACATCATTCTAAACAAATAAGTACTAACGGCTATTTAGACCAGTGGCTAGAGACATATACCAAGGCCAACCCGAGACGGTCGGCGTACGCCTTCTGCATCGACCCCAAGCATGCGGGGTATTTCTTCCTTTGCTTCAAGGCCGGAGAGCATGCGCAAGTGCATAGCTGGCCGGTCAAGGTGATTCCTCAAGGCTACGAGCTGCAGCGCAACCCTTACCCAGACATGCGGGCACTGTGTAATGGGTTTAAGCTGTTGTTCACCAATATGCAGAGTGGGAAGCGACGATAAAGCATTGGGCGATTGCATATTGTTTTCAAGCATATCCTTCTTCTTCTTCTATACTGTGTAATATTCTCTATGATTTTGCGGGGATAGGGCCTCAATACTACAACCATGACGACATCTCCAGTACTAGTACCACTAGGCACTGTCATAATTTTCCCCTGGACAAGGCTATTAGATTAAAATTACTCCATAACTTGGAAAGCTCGGTTCGTGAGTGGCCGCCCATGTGATGACGCCCTGAAAAGAGATCCTCGGTGTTTCTCGGAGGCTCCGTCCACAGCCTTAAGATCTCCGCATTATTTATGAATGACATGCGGAAGATGACAGGTTCTTCGTTCCCTCCGCTGACATTCCCCTTTCTCTTCTTCCTTGATTTATTCTCCGATCTCCCTCTGTCCTTGCAATCACCTGGACCATTGCACGATAATCCTGTTGTCTCGTGCTTCCCATTGTCAATGACCCCGTGAACCTGCTCCTCCCCCTCCTTGTCCTCAGGCACCAACTCAATCCCCTACGTACCCCTCTTACCACCCCATTTCTTCCTTTGCGCATTGAATTGCGGCCTTTTGCCGTCGTTGGCTTTCTCTCTTGTGGACGGCGAATTTGTTACTGTTCCCTTGCGAAGCTATGGCAGCCATGGAAGAGCTTGAAATCCACAGCAAGGTGAGAATGCCACCAGGAAGAGTCATGGGGTTGGAGCTGACCTAGCATCGATCTCCCTGCTAGTCTTACTTCGTCCGCTGGGTTCCTGTCAAATCCGAGCATACTATTTCCTGGAGCATCCAACCGCACAAGAAATCTCTCAACTTCGGCATCTTCAAGCATCCCGGCCAATCCGGCGTCCGCACCACGCCCAACCTGTCATCCACCGATACGCCCAGCAACGATTCAAGCGAGAACCTCGCAAATGGCGGCGCCAGCTCACGACAGAACACTTCGGCTTCTCTTACCGACAAGCTGACGGGCATGGGCTTGAAGCAAATACGATGGGTCGGTAAATGTGAGGCGGATAAGATCGTCCAGGGAACCTACGATGTGCCTCCTAATGAAGGTGGGAACTATGCGCTGGTATTCGACAACACGTTTTCGAAGCAGATATCCAAGACCGTGACTCTCGTGCTACTCACCTACCCCACTGCATTACCTCCCCAATCGGTTCCTACGACCCATGCGGCAAGTCAACCAGGGGGCGAGACGGAGTCCGCCTCGTCGCGAAGGCGGGGCAATAGCATAATGTCCAAAATGCCGCCCCAAATACAGGTTCAGGAGGGAGATGAAATGACAACAATACACACCGGTCTTCTTCTCAAGCGTCGCCGTAAGCGCCACCAGGGGTGGGCACGGCGGTTTTTCTCTCTCGACTTTACGACCTCTACACTATCGTACTTCCACGATCCGAACTCTGCTACCCTACGTGGCTCAATTCCGCTGAACCTAGCTGCGGTAGCTTGCAACGAGACTTCGCGCGAGATTTCTATCGACTCTGGCACTGAGGTCTGGCATTTGCGCGCTCGCAATGATGCCGAGTTTGCGTCATGGAAGCGCGTCCTGGAGAAGGCTTCATCCAGTAAGGGCGCCGGCGATGGGAGTCACTCGCCGAGACATCTGCATCCGAGCACGGCACTTCAGTTACCACCGCAGCATTATTTGACGAGCGCCGCCGAGGAGCGCGACTGGGCGCGGGTCGCAGAGTTGGTCGGCCGAGTCTCAGGATCCCGTGATGCTGTCCGACGACTAGCCAAGGACACGGATCCCAAGTACATGAGTCCAAATCCCCCTCGTGGACGGTCTGGGCGGTCGCCTAGTCCGCATCCAGGCGAGACTAATGGCGAAGAGAGGCGGCCATTCTGGAAACGAAAGGCTTCCAACGCGGCCTCATCTAAACTGTCCGCCCCAAGCGATACTTCTCTTGATCGAAAACCGGCCGGTCTGGCCAGTGTAGAACAAGCCAATGACACCCATGAGAGCCTCATGTCTCTTTTGCGCGACCTGGACCACGTCGTTAACGACTTTGGGGTCTTGCTCTCGGAGAGTCAACAACGTCGTCAGCCTCCTCAGCTCACCTCACAGTCGCGAATGAGCGTGGAGTCGGACAGGTCGGAGGAGTTCTTCGACGCTGTCGACGCCACCGACTCTCAATTACTTACCATCAAAGGCGACAGCGACGAAGATACAGTAGCGGATGCCCCGGCCGATGTTGTTGCTGACGATGCACCATCAGATAGCGACGATGATGTCTCAGAACCCGCAGACACAGGTGAAGCGCACGATCAACAGTCTCCATTATTCCCAGCGCGCCCTAAAACCCTCATACCACTCCCGCTCGACCCGGTCCCCCGTCGAAACAATATTCCCGCGCCAACGGTGATGCCACCCAGCTTGATTGGATTCCTCCGCAAGAACGTCGGCAAGGACCTCTCCCAGATCTCAATGCCTGTATCCTCCAATGAGCCTCTCTCTCTACTTCAGCGGGCCGCGGAGGTCATGGAATACTCAGCCCTTCTTGACAAGGCCGCACAAGTCAGCGACGCAAACGAACGACACCTCTATGTAACTGCGTTCGCTCTCTCCTCCCTTTCCAGTAGTCGCGTTCGCGAACGAGCAATCCGCAAACCATTTAATCCCATGCTCGGCGAAACCTACGAGCTTGTCCGTGAGGATATGGGCTTCCGCTTCATCGCCGAAAAGGTTTCCCACCGTCCCGTCCAGCTTGCCTACCAAGCAGACAGCAAAGACTGGAGCCTCGCCCAGTCCCCGCGGCCCTCTCAGAAATTCTGGGGTAAATCCGCTGAAATCGTCACAGAGGGTAAACTCCGCATCACTCTGCACTCCACAGGAGAACACTTCTCCCTGTCGCCGGCAACGTCCTTCCTCCGCAACATCATCGCCGGCGAGAAATATGTCGAACCAGTCGGTGAGATGACCGTGCACAACGAGACGACGGGAGCCCGCTCAATCTCCACCTTTAAGGCTGGCGGAATGTTCTCCGGCCGCTCGGAGGAAGTATCCACCAAGCTCGTCGATGCGTCCGGCCGCGAACTGTCCATCTCCCTCACAGGTTCCTGGACCTCCTCCCTCTCCCTGTCCGGAGGCTCTTCAGGAACCTCAACAATCTGGACTGCAGGCCCCCTTGTCTCCAACGCTCCTAAACACTACGGCCTCCCGGCCTTTGCTGCAGCCCTCAACGAAATTACCTCTATCGAAGACAAGAAGATCCCCGCCACCGACTCCCGGCTGCGCCCTGACCAGCGCGCCCTTGAAGACGGCGATGTAGACCGCGCCGAGGAAGTCAAGGTACAGCTTGAGGAAGCGCAGCGCGCAAGGAGACGCGATATGGAAGCTTCCGGTCAGAGCTGGGAGCCGAGGTGGTTCATGAAGGTTGATGAGGTGGCGGACGGCGAGGTTTTCTGGCGGTTGAAGGGGGGAAAGGATGGGTACTGGGAAGAGAGGAGCAAGGGGAGCTGGAATGGAGTGTCGCCGGTATTTGAGATGAATTAGGTGTTTAGATGGATGAGATGTAGACGTTGAGGTTTGGTACATCGCGTGTGTGGGCATGAGTGTGAGATAGAACACAGCATGGGGTTTTCATGTGAAATAATCTATTCGGCATAAATCCTATTTTGCTATTACATGACTCTGAGGATATAAGTACGATTCTGGCTTTTGGTTTGCAGGTTTCGGTCTATGATCTCATCTAGTGTGTCCTGGAATGTTGTCAATATATATATTGTCAGCGAAGCTCAGCCATTTGTATAACTCTATCTCTGTGCTAAGGAAATCTACTCGCTATTATGCAAAGAAAGATGGAGGCTCAAATTAATGCATAACCAACTTTTCAATCTGTAGATGAAAGATTAAGAAAGACCTTGGGCACCAGCCAAAATCCGGCCACGATTGGCCGGTTTCAGGAAATCAGGGAATACACATAAGCAAAAACGGGAGTAAGGAGCAAAAATAGATGAAGACTCGTCTAATCAAAATAGGAAAAATTTCTAAAAACTGGGTACGGACATCAGCGTCACTAATACACGAATTTTCCCCCTCCCGCCCCGCGTTGACTCTGCCGTAGCTTATCTGTAGCGCGACGCTCGTACGAGTCAGGTCTGCGCATCATCACCACGGGGAGACTGTCAAGAACAGCAGTGTTTCCTTCAAAGTAGTGGACAGGAAATCCACCCTGGAGTATACGGCGCAGGGAGTTGAGGCGGACCCATTTCTCCCAGCGGTCAATATGCATGACGCCCTGTTGGCCAATCTTGACAGTGAGCTTGCTACCGCGGTACTCGTCATAAAACGGGCCGTGACGCGGGTCTGCGACAGTCTCACGGATGGAAGCAAAGCTCTTGCGGAGATCCCTCTTGTCGCGTTTGTTGATGCGTTTGCTGTGGAATGTTGCAAGTGATTGCAGCTGACGCTCGAGCTCGGGTGTGTCGTGGTAAGGATTGTAGCGTTTGACCCGCTTGGGGCCGTCGCGCAGGACCTCTTCTTTCGGACGAGTATCAGGGCTTTCCTCTTCGTTGCTGTCATCTTCTTCACCTTCGTCCGACCAGCTCTCCTGAGGAGAGTAGCTTCTCTCGTATAATAGGGCGATGTTCTCGCCGGCCGCGATTTGTACACTCGGGTCGCCACTGTTCAGTTGATCGACGAATATTTGAATGAACTCTTCGCTTTCGCTTGAGAGGTCGTTGATCTCTGTCGCCATGAAACCCCATTCTTGTAGAGCCGCGGTGACACAAACGGCGGCGCCGTCTTGCGCATCGATGGATTGTCCGTCAGAGGCGGCAATGTCCAGAAGGAACGTCATCTGGTCCTCAATGCCCTCAACTCCAGCACCGCCAAACATAGTGCATGTTCCTAGGCAATGGATTGCTGCTGCTTTGATTACGTCGGAGGAGTTTCGAATGGTACGGGTGAGTAGCGGCTCCGCATGTTCGAATATGGTATTGTCTGCCGCGGTGATTGCCAGAAGCTCTAAAGCACGCATTGCAAGCGTCGTCTCTCGAACACTGGTCTCGGTTCTGATGCTGCGAGTAAAGGCGGCTAGAAGGTCAGGGACGCGACTCCGGATCAGGTCCTCCACATAGTGAAACTTGGAGAGGCGACAGTATGCTGCATAATTTTCTTCACGGCTAAGCGCGCTGCTGCGCTTGCGATCCAAAACATCATCAATAACTTCGAGAAGCTCTTGTTCCCAATTGTTGTTATCATTTTCGGTGTCAATACTCTCCAAATCGTCAAAAGAAGCGAGGCTGCGGTAAAACATGTTAGCATAGGGCTATGACATCATCTTCGTACACGGAAAAGTAATCGAGAATTTGGAAGAAAAGCTCACCTGACCGCCGTGTCATCACTCAAATTCCCTGCATCCTCATCATCTGAAGTCTGTCTGCTTGCGTTTCGCGATGACTGACGAGAAGTGTGAGCCGAGTTTGTGCGTGAAGGTGATGTGCGGCGAGAGCCTTCCCTCGAGGCGGCTTTGCGAGACATGGTTTTGCCGCTCTCAAGGGCCCGTCGACGAAGATCATGCATATTTAAGGACGGAAAGGGTGTAGGGTAGTTTTTGAGACAGCGTTGGATAAAAGGCGAGGAGACAAATGCCTGTGGTTCGTTTGCGAAAACAGGCGCGATAAGAGCCCTGCGATAGAAGATAGAGGGATAGCGGCAATGAGCGCCAGAAGCGCTGCGTGAGTTATCGATTCTGACTATTTAAGCGGTAACGAGTATAGCGAAAAGTGAGTGGTTGATTGAGAGACAAATGACATGGTAATCTTGAAGATTATGGTGAAAAGGTGTTCGACAGTAGTGGCTTGTCCGAAAGACGAGACAGTACCGGGCCAGGAATTATGTTAGACGAGAAGGAAGACCTTGAGTAATGAAGCAAGGCCTACAGGTGAACGTTGACGGAAACAGGAAGTTTGCGAGGATGAAGGCGTTGAAGAGCACATGGAAGCTGGATCCAAACCTAAGGATGACGTTGCCCACACTTCCCGGCCAATACTTCGCTCTTGTAGACGGCAGTAGTTGGATAAAATGAGTCACACGGCCTATACACTGGACTCGTGTATTCTTTTCTAATTCTTTCCTCTGTGCCACAGAGCAGGATTTGCGACGCCCCTCAAAGTTAGTCCTGCTGCCCTGCATGATCCTGCATTCGGCCATACACCACCAGCCTTGAAGCTCAGGCACCAATGATGAAGGGCGTTATCACCACGTGATGCGGGGTCATTATCGACTCGCGAATGCAATTTTAGAAATTATTCATCACAAGTACTCTGAGTTACTAGACTGGGTATCGAATATGTCATCATTTAAATCAGCCCTGCTGTGCTGTTGCTAATTGAATGATCCTGTTAGCTTGGGCTCCTTCGAGGTACTCTCGTCCTTCCCGCTGCCGCCCATCTTCGTCGTAGTCATCGCCCTGCTCCAAATCGGCCTGGAGGCTGGCATCGTATGCAGCCATGACAGTTTGCTCATCCACGCGCAACCCTCCCTGGACAAGCACCCGGATACACTGGGCCAGCCGGGCAATCTCACGTCTTGTGGCGGGTAAGATTTCGTCGTTCTGGCTAGAGTAAACCGAGTTTGAGACCATTTCCTCCATGCGCGTGATCGACACGCTCTCTGTGGTGGAGGAAGCAGCTGCCGTGCCCTCAACGTGCTTCGAGATCCAGATATACCCGTTTACTCCCAGGACAATGTCTACATCGCCGCCGCCATTAGAAGTCGGTATCGTGAACATTTGTCTGCGTGAACGAACAACTCCGGTAGTTGATCCCGCCCCCAGTCCTCCCTTGGTTGATGAGCTAGATGCGCCACTACCACCTGCCCCGGCTACTGCGAGAAAAACCCCATTGCGGAGTTTACCATACTTGAGCGACCGTGTGTGAAGCGACGCCGCGCCATCTGAATGCACCGTTTGTACCTCCGCGACAAGCAGATCGCCCTCGCTGAAGAACGTCCGGATCTGCAGTTCATCCGCGCTCGTTCGTCGACGCAGGATACCTCCAGGTAGGTTGATCGCAGAAAGTGGTAGCTGAGCCAGTAGAGGAGCTGCCACATCGACCTTCCACCGTCTAGACTGAACTTCGACTATGCGTCCGACAACCAAGTCGCCGATTTCCGGCGTGTAACGGGCACGGAGCGGCTGAACGGAGAGTAGTTTGTTTGTCTTTTGAACGGTGCCAGCAACTGTGGCAATGATCGATGTTGACAGAGGGTTTGTATATGTTCCATGACCTCTAGATGGAAGAGCGACGTCAGCGAGAAGGCGAAGAACCCAGATAGATGAAGAAAACATACCTCATCCACTGCGGGTCATCTGTGACAACTTCTCCCGGTGTAATTATTCCCGTTCCAATATCCGTCCCTTCTATTAAGCGAGCCCTCTTGGTCGGTCGTGATGATTTCGCGGGTGTGAGCGCAACGCCGCCGTCGGAGTCGACAGACATCTCGTCAAAGTCGGACTCGGGGTACGTCGCCTCGACATCGTTTGCAATTGGTGGTAAAATTGTGATCGCCATTGCGATATTCTCCAGTATTTGAAGAAAGCTGGACTGTAGGCGATTTTGTGCTGCGTTCTGAGGCGAGTTTGCTGGGTTTTCGAATTAAAGCTCCAGAAAGTCTTTCGGCCTCGAGAGCAAACAGGACAAACTTGCCGCCCGTGGGTCTTTTCGACTGTACCTACTCGTCACACTGCTTGGGTTTGGCCGAAGGCTCAGCAGTGTGACGAGTAGCAGTTGCTAATGCTTTTGATGAACTATCGCTATAGCTGTAGTCTCACATGTAGCGAGTTTACGAAAGTTCAATTCACATAGCCAAAGTCTCTTCTTTGAATAGACATATGCTAAGTTATACGTCATACGTCCCTCACTCCGTTATATGAAAAAATTCGGAGCGAGACACATAACATTGATATATTGATACACGACAGAAGCCAGGGGCCATGTAAGTATAGTCATGCTAACAAATCAGATGAGAAAAATAAACAACGAGAGTGGTAACGTCAACCCAGGAGACGTCAACCGACGTTCCGCCAAGGAATTCACGCAACATAGAAAATGGACTGGCGAAGGGACTAGTTATACAAGAGTTGAAGCCCGAATGTGACATAAAACTCACGCGCCTCCGCCGGACGTTCGCTTTGCAGGGCGCTTGGTGTTGGGCGTGCTGTCTTCCTTCTTCTTCCGATTAGAGCGACCGCCGGCAGTTTTAGTCCGAGGAATTGCCTCTTCGTCACGCTTACGTTTGGCCTTTGACGATGGACCGGAATCCGCCATGGCGCTGTCTTCGTCATGGGTGTCCTCGTCTTTACGAGACGCTGGTGCAGACCGCTTGGACGCGCGCAAGTTGGAGGGCCGCGACGATGATTTCTCGGAAGCATTCTCGTTGTCCTGTAGGAAGATATTGGGATGGTTCTTCCGCAGCCAATGATGAACTGAAACCGGGCTCCGTAGAGCATGCTCTCGCTCTCTCTCCAATAAAGATGGCTTCTCCGGAACGCGGCTCAGCTGAACGGCGGCTTGCATGTCACCCATGCGAGCGTCTGCGGCCAAACAGTATTCTGTTTCGTGTTCTGGGGTCAAGTACCCGAGATTCTGATTCAAAGCAGAATCTTCCGCGGGGTTCGTTGGGTTCAGGCCCTCAGGCCCGGGGGCTGAATGAGGCACCTTTGTCAGATCGGTGTACCGCGATAGAGGCGCAAAAGCTCTGCACCTGAGCCCACTCTCGAGTTGCTGATAGTGCTCGACTGTTATGCGCCCGGCCGCCAAGAGCTCCTTTGCATTTCTTAGTTCTGTTGTGGCCAAAGCATGATCATTGTAGACTGTCGGAAGCTCCCCGTTAGGGGTTTGAAGCGGGTCTTCGTCACCGGAAACATGAAGATCGTATCGAAGTTTGGGCGGGATATGTACGGTGTCGTTGAACTCTAGAAGAACCTCAAGAAGCTGACTGCAGTAGACGTTAGTGGCTTAATGGGAGATGGAACGGAATCAAGTGACGAACTCGTTTTGCTCCTGGATCCTCTTTGACAGATCCTCAATGCGCAATTGCTCGCGAATGAGAGACTCACTTTCCTTCATTCTGAGCTCAAACTGAATCTTAAGTTTCGCGAACTTCTTTCTGTAGCAGAAACCTAATTAGCTTTGGAAAATCATATGGCACTGGGCCGCAATTTGCACTGACTTAAATGATCGATGTGACTGCTTGGTAGGCGCGTCAGCGTCCGGTAGACTTTCGGCCAGTGACCGGGTTTCGTCGCGTTCTAGGGACATATTTGTAAAATAGGGCAATAAGCCTCTTGAAACGAACGTTACCTCCGAATTCAAGATTTGTGTTCAAGTCCGAACTTGGTGTTGACGGGTCAGGACGTTGATCGGATCTGGACCGTGGTCGCGAGTCGTCGGAAGCTCAAAGGCGGAATGGAGCGATTCTGCCCGTCAAATTTATAGAAAAAAAATGTCACCATAATATCTTCCGGGATTTTGTATTATTCATCGTTCGATATATGAATTATCATTCATTCTCCTATTCATCTGCCTAAATTTATATCACTTACGGGCGCCACCGGCAATAAAACAAAATGACGGGTATTGGGGAAGACAACCACAAGAAGCGAAAGTTGCTTGACGGCCCCGAGCTGGAGATCGATGTCTCTGCGCCTGAACCTCCCTCAAAAAAGGCCCTCCGTAAAGCCAAAAAGAAGGCCAGTGACACAGATGCAAAGGCCGATGAAGCGAAGGCCGACACAAACGTTTCAACTACAAACCAAGTTACTGAGGCTTCTCCTCAGAAACGTTCAGATTACGGCGTCTGGATAGGGAACCTGGCGTTTTCCGTGACCAAGGACGACATACGCCGATTTCTGACAACCAATTGCTCGTTTACAGATGCTACCATCACTCGGATTCATTTGCCCAAACCGTCGGACAAGAACTCAAGGGCACAGAATAAAGGATTCGCCTACGTTGATTTCTCTACACCAAAGGCCGTAGAGGAGGCAATCGGCCTGAGCGAGCAGCTAGTTTCCGGGCGTCGTGTCCTGATCAAAGATGCGAATAATTATAAAGGCCGGCCAGAAAAATCGCAAGATGGAGGAAACAACACTGCTTCTACCTCATCAGGTCGGGCGCCATCTAAACGTCTTTTTGTCGGCAACCTCAGCTTCGACGCGACCAAAGAAATTCTCGAGGAACACTTCTCAAAATGCGGCACTGTTGCCAATGTGCACGTCGCGACCTTTCAAGATTCTGGGAAATGCAAGGGCTATGCTTGGGTAGAATTCGAGGACCTAGAAGCGGCTAAAACGGCAGAAAGAGGGTTCAAATATGTTACGGAAGACGATGCGGATGAAGAAGACCCAGCTCAAAAACCGCAGCGGAGAAAAGTATGGTTGAACCAAATCCTGGGACGACGCATGAGACTCGAGTTTGCTGAAGATGCAACAACTCGCTATAACAAGCGGTTTGGTAAGAACGGGGAAGGGAAGAAGGGAACTGCAGATAATGGCGAGGCAGAGCCCGGAGATTTCGAGGAGGTTGCAGCCGAAGAAAAGCCTCAACAGAGTAAGGCCAAAAACGCAAAGCCGGATTACACCAGGTACGACCAGTCGACCGTGCAGAAGCTGAGTGGCGCTATCATAGAGGGGCAGGGCAAGAAGACAACGTTTGACTGAAGCTGGCATCGATGATCCCACTCTCGCCGTGAATTCAGAGATTCAAATTGGGTCGTGGACGAGGCGACACTGTTCCGACGCCTGAGATTGACTGAAAGTGAATATGTACGTGGTACAAGAAAGATGTTTGTTATCTAATCCTGCAGGAGAAGGGATGTATCTGGCATTTCGACGTGGCACGAGAAGACGTGAGATCACTTATACCCAAGGAATGGAATTCCTAAACGCACGTTATTCATCCCATCGTTTTCATCATCTGCTCACCTGTTGATCGTACCACTCCTCGTTCCGTAGAAATAACGAGGCATATCAAAGATCGCCCGAGTAAGCACCAGTCCGGAACGCCTGGACAAGGAGCATCCGCCTGCAGTCGGTTCGTGGCATGGGATCGAGGAACAAGTAGGCTCCGGCGGTTCCAGGGAAACAAACGTAGATACCCGGCGGCTTTGGCTCGGAATGATACTGTTGATACTCTGATCGCAACAGCTCATATCTTGATCTTTCTCAATACTCTGTAACGATCTCTATAGAGTTCTGCCCGGAGTGGTTCTAGAATCGCTGTGGTGGTTTAGGCCGCGCTAACCCGGTTAGGATGCTTGACATCTCCTTCGATGTCATGCCTCGACGTCGGAGACCATCAAATCTTCTCGACTGTCCCTCTACTTTGGCTTTCTTTTCGTTTCCTCTCTTCCTCTTCTAGGGTGCACGCTACCCCATTTAGTTTTATTTGTTCTATATACTCCCCTTCCTTTCCCGGTCTCGACCCTTCCCTTTTTTGCTTGGAGTTCGTCATCCCGCCCTGGCCCTCAACCCGCCTGTTTCTCCGCTGCTGGTCGGTGCACCCATTCCTGCATTCTCCTTTGCTACGTCTCGATATCTACTATCGACCAAATTATCGCTTATATAATACCACTTTCGTTGAATTTATATTGGAATGGCACCTCATCGACGCAACATAGGTGCAAGTCGCCGAAAGAGACGGGAGGATGAAGGGGAGGAGGAAGGCTCGCTGAGTGGTGAAATAGAGGACGACTCCCTAAGCGAGGGCTCAGTCATCAGCCAACAGGACGAGGATGACGCCGACGGAGAGGTGACAGAAGACAGCGAGGACGAGATCGCGACAAGCGAAGATCCGAAACAGCGCCAGCTTAATGGTCGTATGCCTGAAGTCCCGCGCCGCCGTCATTCAGCGTCACTCCATGAAGCGCGGTTAGCGACGACTATGCCTGATACGGATGCGATGCTGAACGGGATGAAGATAGAAGGCGAGGGAACAGGTGTGGCTGAATTGCATTTTGACGAAATGGAAGCGGAACTCGGTCAGACTGGGAGAACGCCATCTGCACCACCCACCGAGGCGACCAGGGACTCATTTACAGATAGGAAACGCTCAGAGACTGAGAGGATGGGCAGAGGGAAAGGCGAGGATCCGACAGCTGTGCCTACGCGAGGCAGCTTCTTCCTTCATGACAAGCGTTCGACAGAATCTGGAGCAAACGGTCACAAGGCTTTCAGCAAGCCAAAATCCAGGCCGTACGGTCTTATTGTGGACGGAAATGTTCGAAGGTATGTGAATGGTCTATTAAACGTTCGGCGGCAGCACTAACCTACTATATGCTACCAGAAAACCAGATATTACCACCGAAGGGCCTTGGACTCATGACCTTCACGATACAGTTGCTGGAGACGATCCGCCTGCTTCCAGACGTCCTCCGCCCTCAACAGCCGCCTCGTCATTCTCTCATATAACCTTGCCCACGGCTGTGCCTACCGCGACCAACACTTCTGCGCCAAACCGCGCTTTTTCGACCACCACTAATGTCGGAAAAGTGGCTGTCGTGGTATTTCTTCCGGGCATGAGTAAGCCAACACGTTTCGAGGTTGAGAAGAAGCATTACACTCGATTACCAGAACACCGACCCCCGCTGCGCCGAGACAAGCCCGTTAGAATTTCAGTTCCTGGTCAAGCACCTAGATATATATTTCCTGCAACGGAGCGATCCTTTGTATTTATACCAAGGGCTCAGCGGCCCAACCAACAGGCTTACCGTGGACGTGGCAGAGGTGGGTTCTATCAAGGGCGCCGCTCAAGCTTTTACGCAAGCTCGACATACACACCAAGCGTGGCAATGAGCCGAAGGTCGTCGTTTGGCAAGCCACCTTCCCAGGATGGCTATCACTCACCAGCTGCGTCCGTGATATCACGGCATACAGTAATTACGACCGAGAACGGAAAACCGGTTGTTCGTTTACCTCCTCCCCGAGTCCCTGGGGCCCATCCGTCGGCCGCCCCAGCTCCGTTGCCCCCGACTTATCCCTCACAGCCGCAGACTGTATGGCGTGAGAGTCGTCCTGCTCCTATACCGATGCATCAGCCTCGCCCGCAAAAGGCCGTGTCTCTGGCCGACATTGAGACTCCCGCTACTTTTGTCAACTCCCCGCAGGCGCAGCAAGAGCAACCGTTCCACCATCAAGTTCCCGTGCCCGGTGGTAGCACTGTATATGGCCCCGAAGCCCCCACCAACTACGCCCCCTCATCGCATACAGCCGCAACTCCTTTGTCGCAGATACCTGAACGCGCTGTGCATGCCCCGCCGTTCCAAGCTTACGGGTTCCAGCAGCCTCAGGCCTACTACCCAAGCCCTTACCAACAGGGGCCTGTATTTTATCCCGTTTCGGGTACAGAGTTTGCGCCTTATAACGGCGTCGGGTCGGGACCAGCCGCTCCTTTCCCTGCGGGACAAAACGTTCCGTATATGGTTCCAACGCCGACGGAGCAAACGTCACAATCCGGCACGGTTGCACATGAGTCAGGCGGAACGGTTTATTATCTGGACGCCTCACAAATGTACTCTGGGCCAACAACGTTTAGCGGGACCCCCGCGGGTGGCGCTGTCAACATGGGTGGGATGATGACACCTGGTACTACATATTATTACCATCAACCTCAAGGTGTCTACTTTCCCCCACAGTAACAGACCCCTCTCTCCCAAAAGAGCAGCATTTACAACTTTTCTTGACTTTCGGATGCTTTTCATGATTCCGTTCTCTTTTGGACTTCGCGATATGACCTTTCCGCTTTTGGCGCCTTTCTGCTCTCTTCGTCGCTCGCTCAGCATCCCGAAAAATTTCACGGCATCTTTCTTGGCTTTCCGGTTGTTTCTATCGGAACTTCTCGTTTTATTAGGTCTGTCTTAGTCGTCGTTAGATTAGGATCTGATGCATTTCTAGCGTTGTTGGGTTTCTTGATACTTGTTCTGCTATTATTATTTGGGACTTACGCACGTCGCTATGCAGCGATTTTATGATAGTACTCCGTATCCTTTCATGCAACACAGTTATCCGATAGCGGCATAAGCTGGCCGTCGAACTTAAAGGTCACGGGTTTCTAGACTTCTCTGTCTGGTAGGCGCCTCGTAACTCGATATTTCCCCGCCCAAGGCGGGCTCAGAGGACAAATACTGGTCGGATATAACTCCTCGTATGTCCGGCCGTTGCGCATCATTGTTTGCATTTTCCTCACCCTGTCCTCATCCCAACTTGCCATATAACTGCCGCCGCATGGCTAGATGGTATTGTAAACTCGCGGCATCAAGACGTGCGTGAGACATGCAGATATACAGCAGTGGACTAGTCTGCGAATCTACCGCCGGAGGCCCTCTCAACTATGTATGGCTGAAGAGTTGTAAACTGATTAGTCAAGCATAAAGGTTCTTCACCTTTGCCCAGCCGGGACAGCCTTGCAGGTTGACGTAGTTGACGGGCATTGCCATTGGAGCCCCCGGAGCGAAAGCAAGTGAGCTCACCGCCCCCTACCTACGGTAGAGCAGCGGGGGGCATGTGACCATCCAGGCATCTTCTTATCTGCCAATTATAAGCCTCACTCTCGCTTCTCTCCTCTTCAACCTCCCCTTCGCCTTGCCTCATCCTCGTCATCTACTGCTGCCTTTTATCTACCCCTTTATCTTCTCTTCATCTGTTTCCATTTCTCACCAGACTCATCCTTGCGTATTCCCTCACTTTTGACCTGTTGGCATCGTCTCCGCATCTTCCTTGTCTCATCTAGTCGAAGCTAACATAGCTACCCGGTCCGCAAGCAGCTCACTAGTACAGCATCTCGAGGGCACGCAGTCATGTCCGCACCCAGTGCCAACCCAGTTGGGCCTGGTACCTTGATCACTGTCAAGGTGACATATGAAGACCACACCAGACGCTTCAAAATCCCTTTGAGGGATCTAGGTGCTCGCACTCTACCCCAGAATGTGAGTCCCGTCCCCACTCACTGGGCCCGCCGACTCTCGGCTCTCCTCACCGTACATTCCTTATCTCTATAACTCCATCTTCTACCCTAACTTCTGCCTGTCGAATCTCATGTCCGCATTTTCCCCTTGAAAGGGCCCAAGGAGAAGCAGAGTAAATACCATCGTGCCACTCCATACTGACTATTCCCACACTAGTTGCGCCAACTGCTTGGCACTCCACCGGACGCAGACGTCATCTTCGAACGCTACTCGGATAGTGCCGGTTCTTATGTTCAGCTTGACAGCAACAACCCGGCAGTCTTCAAACAACTCTACCGAGCTGCGAAGGCCAAATTGAAGCTGCGAATCAAGGCTACTGTTGTCCAGCCTGTGAACCGATCAGGAGCATCTGATGGCCCCAGCGAAGCGCATAGCCCGGCAAGATATAGCTACCTCGAAACCGTATTGAGCCATCCAATTCCTGCGAAAGCAGTTGACACCAATGACAGTACTGCCGCATTAGCTACAACTCTGCCAACGAGTGCGGAGCGAACCACATTGATCGAGACTCAAAATCCCGTCTGCTTCACTAACGAAGTGGAAGAATCCAAGTCCACCAGCCATAGGGAGTTCGTCTTGGGCCCGGACAACCCATGTGCTCCCCTTGCCGACCATAGCTCCGCCCCCCCTGTAATCAGCATTGATTGTGACCATTGCGGCCGAGCTATCCCTAGTGAGCATTACCATTGCAATACCTGTTCCGACGGCGACTTTGACCTTTGCCCGCAATGCATTGAGTCGGGCGTCAATTGCGAAGGCGAAGATCATTGGCTAGTTAGACGCTTTATGAAAGACGGTATCATCACGAACAGCACTACCAAGACTCTCGCGTCTCACAAGATTCGGACTCAAGATGAACTCGAGGCCCAGCCAGCTCTGGAGGAAGCTCCTGAACCGGTCGAGAAAATTGCAACTAGCCGCGAGCGAATCTGCAACAACTGTCTCAAAGGTATGCAATGCTGTCATTCGGTCGCTGCTGTGCAGGTAAACTAATTCAATGCAGAGTTTGACGAGGGTAAGATGGTTTCTTGCGCTGACTGCGATGATTTTGATCTGTGCATTACATGCGTCCTTGGACACAAGCATGGACATCACCCCTCGCACACATTTGTACTGCTGGGTGACCACGATGCCGGTTTGAAAAAACTTGTTTTGTCTCGCTGCAAACCCGGGCGTGGTTATCACCATGCAGCTATCTGTGATGGCTGCGAAAGCGTACGCTATCCATCTGTAAACTTGAACTCTGCTAATCAACTCACAGCATATTACCGGCGTGCGCCACAAATGTCTTACATGCCCTGATTGGGATTATTGTTCCGAGTGCCATCTATTGGCGTCTCAAACTCACCCCGGTCATAGATTTGCTCCTCTCTACGCGGCAATTTCTGAGCCTTTACAGTCTCAGGAAGTGCACTTCGGGGTCTTTTGCGATGGGCCTCTGTGCAAAGACAAGCTATGTTCTGGTTACATTACCGGCGTGCGGTACAAGTGTTCCGTCTGCCACGACACTGATTTCTGTGCCAAGTGTGAAATCCATCCCGCTAACTCCCACAACCGCACTCACCCGATTGTCATGCTCAAAACGCCGGTGCGCAGCGTCACTGTGAGCACTGTTCATGAGAATGCACTTAACCAGCAGGCAAACACGGTGGGCGATCGCACTCAACACTCCGCATCCACTCAAGCATCTGCTCCCATTCCCGCCCTCATTGACGCAGATACCGAGATGGAGACTGTCGCTGAAGAAGAGGTACAACTTGTTGAAGACTCTGTGAAGGAAGAGCAGCCTGCCACTTCTGAGAAGATACCCAGCCCAGTACTGGATTCCGAATACCAGGCATTCTTCCTGGAGGATACCATCTCAGACGGCACTACGATGAAACCCAACCAAGTCTTCCAACAAACATGGAAGTTGTACAACCCTGGACCTCTTGCATGGCCTGCCGGAAGCAATGTCCGTTTTGTAGGCGGTGATCCCATGTTCAACGTGGACACCAACCATCCCACTAGTCTTGCATCAGTCACGGCAGCCATGGAAAGCAACAAGTTATCTCAGTCGCTCGAGGCAGGCCAAAGCACTGATTTTACTGTCAGTCTGAAGGCTCCTAATCGTCCCGGCACTGCAATCTCATACTGGCGAATGAAACTCGCGGATGGCACACCTTTCGGCCATCGGCTGTGGTGTGATATTCAAGTTCGACAGGATTCCCCTGTTGCACTCCCGAACAAGAAAGCTCCCGAGTCTGCTGCGGCTGACGAGTCCGAGATTTCGGAAAGCCAAATGGTATTTCCCAAACTGGACAAGGAGTCTCCAGCATCAAGCACGCACGAGGCGGCTAACGTGCCAACCACCACCGCTCCCTCCGTTGCCAACGCTTCTGAGCATGATGTCCTGCTCGATGATGTGGCCAGCCTGACCTTAGATGAGGAAACCTCGACTGAGGCAGGATTCTTGACTGACGAAGAGTACGACATCTTGGATGCTAGTGACCAAGAGTTTTTGGATGCCAACTCTTCTCGCCATTAGCTACCGATTGCGATTTCATGACAAAAAAAGAATGAATGACACTGCAGGCTCTCAATCAACATTGGGAATTCCGGGATAACAGCGCTGTCAGGGACAGGTGAATCAAGTTGTTTCTTTTGGGGAAATGCACATGTACTCTCGACCAAGCATGGCCGAGTATGTGGAGTTTTCATATTATTGTATCTCGCCTCGCTTATTCAAATTGGATACCAGGATACTGTTTATTCTCTCTGTGTAGTGGTTTCGTTTACCGTAGCAGTCTGGCCTGGCTGGGTCCTCCCCGCACGATCGCTGTTCCCAGTTTCCGAGGTCCCAGACTAAAGGTCACTATCTCAGTATCTCTAGTCCTTCCCCTCATAAGGTCCACATTGAAGTCAATCCTTTTCTCTCCTGCTTTTTTTCTTCTTTCCTCTTTCTCCAGCAGATCTCAACCGCAGCCATGGCTATCTCGTTGTTTTCTATACCCCTGCTTGTGGTGGCGGTCCTCGGCCCTCTACTCTATAACAAGATCCACCATCAACTCACAGTTTTGGGAGTATATCGCAGTCCAATCTTTACATCTTCCAGTCATGGAATCCACGCTATTGGCGACACGCAGCAATGCGAGGATATTCACTACTACGCTCCAGGAAACGTGATCTTTGCTGCCTGTGAGGACTCGGTGCTACCTCGCTTCGAATGGTTCCCTCCTCTCGGACATCTAGATACGCCTCCGGAAACGACTGGGTCAATTCACATCATTGATCCAAAGGTATGTTCTAGCACTCTATTATAAACTCGGATAGACGCTCACATTTGCGCAGACACTCAAATCATCCCGCCTCACGTTCGAAAACTTCAATGGCCCCTTTGTCACGCATGGGATCGATGTGATTCCGGATCCAGAACGCCCAGAGGCAGTCTACGTCTTCGCTGTCAACCATCTATCAAACCCAGAGTATCGCCCAGGAGCAAAAGGATCTCACAAATTCAGGTCCCAGATCGAGATCTTCTACCATGTTTTGGGAAGCAGCACAATCCGCCACGTCCGCTCTGTCCGCCATCCTTTGGTGAAAACACCCAACGACCTATACGCCACAAGCCCGTACTCTTTCTATGCTACCAATGATCACTACTACCTTGACGGATTCATGCGGCACGTTGAGGACTCGCTCGTGTTGACGAGGTGGACTGATGTCGTACATGTTCAGCTCGATCGGCTGACCACGAGCGATGAGACCGCCGGGGTGAATGCGTCAGTGACGCTGAAGGGGCTGTGGGCTGCGAATGGGCTTGGGCATGGTCAGTCAGACGATGAGATCATGGTCGCTAGCGTTCTGGGCGGGAAGGTGTGGCGCACCAAGGCAGACGACCATGGAACGCTGTCCATTCGTGACGAGTTCTTTGTCGACAGTACGATCGATAACCCTAGTCACTACGATGACCCCTACAAATCCGCGAATGACGATGCCAGCGGTTATGTTCTCGGTGGTCTCCGACGAGGCATTGATCTGGCGAAGACGCATCGAGATCCGGAGGGTAAGGATGGGGTGATCGTGTGGTATGTTCGGCCAAACTCAGTTTCGGGGTCAAGTTCGGACTGGGAGAAGAGGGTGATTTTTGAGGACGACGGGTCGAACATCCGGTCTGCTAGTGCAGCGGTCCTGGTGCCTATTGAGCCGGGCAAAGAAGATTCAAAAGAAGCAATGCTATTTGTGACGGGATTTGTTTCCAGCGGTATGATTGCTGTTAAGGTGGACCTGAGCCCTAAGCTCTAAAGGAATATATTCTTTTGGCTAGTTTGATAACTGCTTGAACGCATCACTCCACATGACTTGGAATAGGATCTACACCATAAATTGTGATTTCCCCCCATGTTTTCAAGCCGGCAGAAGACCCATAAGCCCCAATGCCTTGGTAGCAGCCTCTCGAAGACGACTGATGTCGAGAGAAAGTGTAGGTGCTTGGCCAGGGCTCCTTGTACCGAATAGCATATGTCGAGATATGGGTATCACCGGTGCAGTCTCCTCGCTTGGCGGTACGGGGAAGATGGACTATGGATAGTGTTCGCTTAGTCTGGCTCGTGCGGAAAGTGCATAGTCTTGACTTACTTCTCGCTGTTTCATCACAATATTCCCATGTTCATCCACGCCGTACAACTCCACAAGACCACACACTCGCTTGCCCAACGATCCAACCTTGAGCCACTGCAGGAGCAGCACAGCTCCTACCTCGCCATTCCCGCCGGCTAGCCACAAATGCTTATCGTCAAGCAGTCGGGACCAGGACTCTGCCCAGCTTGCCTCGATCACGAGCTGAGGCTGACGAGTGTCACGACAACGAAGCATGTAGTCTGGCTCCTTGATTGATGAAGTATACGGGGCTTGGAAATCTCTCATCGCTATGATATTTTAGGGTCCGCAAAGGTTTACATTCACAGTGTAACCGGATTGGCAAGTACTCACTCGTCCCGGTCCCGATTTCAGGGTTGAGAAACCAATCCTCACTGCTCGATAGGACTCCACTGGTACTCCATGCAGTGAATTGACGACGCATCCAGTCCACCTGGCAACCGTGGATTGCCTCGGGCTTAACGCGAACCCAGAATGTTTTCGTCATTGAGTTATAGTTGATTCTGAGTTGCAGAAGCATGCTGGTCAGCCCTCAAACATATCGAAATGGACCTGGCTTTGATTGCGTACCTGCAATCCACTTTCAATTTGTGATTACTATCCACATATCTGGTCACCTCGCCTGCCCAGTCCTCAGAAACGTCCAGATAGACCAGCTCTCGGAATGAGTGTGTTTCTTCTATGCCGGAGCGGACGTGGATCCTGAAGTATTCATACGTGTTGAAAATCTCAGCCTGAGTGACTACCTCTGTGGGCGAGGAGCCTTCAGGCGTAGAAACTGGGAACATCGTGCCAAAGCCTGAGAATAACGTAAGGTGGTATAGATATGGTAAGTGAATGATCACGAGAGTACTTTTAGAGGGAAATAATCGCAAAGAGAAGTAGTTCTCGCTATTAGAGAAGTGTGTCCACCCTTCTCCTTATGTCGATATTAACACTGGCTACTTCAACTCTTCCAGGGAAGCAACGACTTTCTCCGTTTTCATGACATCCGCAAACTCCCCTTCCAAGCTGGCTAGAGTCACAGCATGCACCGTGTCAGCGTCAAAGCCCCCTTTGGCCCAGGTGGCTGTCGCATCGCCAACAAGCACAATTCGGCCTTTGTCAACCGGCACTGTGCTCGGTTGGCTTCCATCTCCATTCAAAACGGGCTCGCCCTGAGGATACCGATCCACAACACCTAGATTCGCTGCCATCCGCACAGACGTCGACACGCAGTGGTCCGTCGTGATCCCCGCCACAATCAGCTGCCTGATCTCGTGCTTTCTAAGGTAGGATTCAAGCTGCGTCCCGATAAAGGCGGAGTTGACATGCTTCCACATCACCGGCTCGGAGCCATCTGGTGCTGGTTGGGCGAAATCCAGGGGCTGGATCCCCGTGCCGTTGGCTGCGGATGGGTGGAGAGGAGATGCGACTGAGGTGGAAGAGTGGAAGACATGAATGATTTCGAGTTTAGCCCCAGATCTGGATTTGGCGGCACGGAAGGCTGTTAAGAGGCTGGAGAGGTTTTGCTCGAGCAATGGGTTTGAGCGATGAGTACCCCAGTGGCAGGGAGTGCGTGGGTCGACATCGAAGCCTTTTTGATTGTCGATTAGGAGGAGGGCCGTTGGTTGGCTGAATGTTAGAGGCATTTTGTATGGCTTTGGGTTGTGCACTCTAAGGATACTTGGTAGTGGAGATGGTACGGAGATTATATGCAGCTTAGCGATGAGTCACAGCATCAATTGTTGTATGGTACCGTTGTGAGCTCTTTTACCAAAGATTTATAAATACTATCACTAATTGATTCATCTTGGCTGACCATAATCCTCAGTTTTGGCCTGAAGCACTCATTTTTGCCTCAGGCACCACTTTCCTATCCCCAGATTCGCGTTTCGACCAGCTTTGCTTCAATCTCATCCCTTTTCCCTCCTCAACCTCGCCTCCTCATCGCTTAGATGGCCTCGATCAGAACCCAGAGAGCGCGCGTCTCTCATCTGACGGCCCAATTCCCCCGTTTGATCCTCACCACCCCGTTCCTACAGCAAACCTATCGCTACCGATTTCAGCACCAACTCCGCGCCTCACACGACGGAAAGTCTCACAATCGCCCACCATCAACAAACCCCTCAGAAGACGTCAATCCACCTCCGAGCACCCGCCCCGCAGAAATCGAGACTCCCGCGCCTCTCGGCCCATCCGCCTCCGCCGGCGATAAAGCGAAGCAACTCCTCGCCTACGGACGCGCATATCTCGCCTTCTACAAATCAGGCGTCAAGAACGTGTATCACAACTACCGCGCCTCATTACCGATCCGTCGCTCGCTCGGGATCCAATCATTTATACCTAAGACCCCGCCTCCGAAAGCTTTCCTCAAAATCGGCCGTGGCAATGGCAACCAGCTCAAGATCAAGACCAGTCGCTCGACGTTCCAGCTAGTTCACCGCGCAGCGTACGATGCCCGGCGCATGATCCCCTTCACAATCGTGCTGATTGTCTGCGGCGAGTTCACGCCTCTTATCGTCTACGCGCTTGGGAACTCCATCACGCCGTTCACGTGCCGGATTCCCAAGCAGATTGAGCGACATCGCAAAGATATGGCAGAGAATAAGAGCGCGGCGCTGAAAGCGCATGCTCAGGCGTCGGGTGGGTCCGCTACCGCATCAACCCCGGAAGCAGGGACGGAGGAGGAGCTACATCTGCTTTCTGTGTTTGCGAGGCCGGACTTTGCGAGGGAGGCTAGTGCCGGGGATATCCTGACGGCTTGTGCGGTTTTTGGTCTGGTTGAGTCGTCTTATAGCTATGAGTCTCTGGTAGAACCCTTGTATCGGAAGAGACTGGCGAGGCATGCAGAGTATTTGGCGGTGGATGATAAAATGATTAAGAGCTGTGGCGGGGTGACGGCTATGGACAGCGCGGAGGTCAGAATTGCTGTTCAAGAGCGCGGTGGGTTTGGGCTGCCGACGGGGTCGAGTGCGTTCGAGGCTGAGATGGTTGAGAGAAAGTGGTTGAACATGTGGTTGAAGAAGTCACAGCCCGAGACGGCTTTGCTCGAAGTCGGAGAGGTAAATCTAGCCTCCAGTACCGGCAATACGTGAGCTTGGAGATAAGATTAGAGATGTACGATACAGATACAATTGGGCTGTAAATGAACGATCTACTATACATCTACCACGATCGCATGGCAGGCATGAAGTCTATCCGCGCAGCGAAACCTTCAACGAGAAATCCACAATCCCAACGCCCTGATGGATTGAGCTCGTTGACAGAATATCCACATCCTCACAGACATACTGCACCGCATTTCCTTCATTCAAACCACCACTGACCTCAATCAAAAAGGAGCCCCTCGACTTCCCCTTGGCAGCCCACTCCTCCTTCAACTGCTTCGCAGCCTGTCGCACCCCATCCGACGTAAAGTTATCCAGCATAACGACATCCGCGCCCGCCTCGATCGCCGCATTCGCCTCCTCCACACTCCGCACCTCGACCTCGACCTTTGTCGCAAAACCCCCGACAGCCTTCGCCGCCTGCACGGCCTTCGGAATCGCAGCCGCGATATCCTCCTCTCCATCTGTGGTTTTCCTCTCAGTCTGCGAAGCAGAATTATTCGCACATGCCCAGACATGATTATCCTTGAGCATCGTCATGCTACTCAAGTCGTGTCTGTGCGGATCCGCGCCTCCAACAAGAATGCCGTACTTCTCAACTACCCGGAAGCCGGGTGTTGTCTTGCGCGTCCCCGCTAACGTCCCCTGCCAGCCGTGCGAACGCAGCGTTTGTAAGAGGGAGTGGGTCTTTGTTGCGATTCCCGAGCACCGCGCGAGGATGTTCAGGGCGACGCGCTCGCCGAGCAGGATCTTGCGGATCGGGCCGCGGACAGTGGCAACATGAGTCTTTTGCCCAGCAGGGAGGGTCGATCGTTCAGTGTGGTGCCATTGAACTCTTTTGATATGTTAGTTTGGGAGTTGTGGTTTGTTGGGGTTTTTAGAGGGTCGCGGAGACGTACGTGCATCCGAGCTGGAAGAAGACTTCGTCGAAGAACGGTACGCCGGCGATCATACCCTACATGTTCGTCAGCTGCACTTCCTTTCAGAGAACTAGTGTTTACAGGTGTGGTAGCATACCTCGCTCTTTCCCAGCAACTTCGCCTCACCCTCCGACTCGCCGACGACGAAACCGCCATAGTCGAAGCTGGGACAGTCCTCTTCCAGCCAGTCAGAGATGAGCCGCTTGTATGAGCCTGGAAGGAGATGGCGGAGGTCGCCATGTGCTGACGCCATTGTTTCCGTCTGGGATGTGAGGGTCTTGGGGGAAAGAGGTTGTTGAAGGTCAGTAGTGTGACCACGGACGACGATCATGGAGGGGAAATTCTAGTCCCCGCGTTGCAGCGGGGGTGCTCGGGTGCTTCCGGGGAGGCTTGGTATCACGTGGCTCGCTTTATACGGAGCAGAATGATGATAGGGATTCGAGGTGTGCAGATGTCCCTTTCGAAAGCCATACAATTTTATCAGTATTTGGAAAGAGCATTACATGCGGGTGTATAACATTCGTACATTACGGTTATATAGAGCCCAAGCTGCCCAGCATCACGCTCACGGCTGACGAGTAAACCGAGTCCAACATGACAGCCAGAACGAAAGGTCCCCAAGCGAATACGAGATCGAGAAAACAGAGCTAGACAGCTTATAAGCCAAGGCTCGGTACGAATACGATCTGACAATCATTGTGATCAAACTGTTGAATCGAGGTTGGGAATGAGCTGTCAGTCGGGCAGTCCGTGACTGAACCGCGAGCACGCCTCTAGCTGAGTAAAGAGAATAGGTCTCTTGGCTATAGTCGCGGAGCACAGTCCATGACACGACACGACACAGCACAGCCTCGTCGCATCTTGTGTATAGCAGGCAGCATCGTTCTTTCCGGGGGCCAAGGCTTGATTGTCGAGTCCGAGTAGCACTCCGGGGTAACAGTACCTCGGTACCTCCGGAGAGATGAATTGGCAGAAGCAACTTTATGATACTCAGCCACAAGGACATGTGATATGACAAAGCTGTCGGTCAGCATAGTACTCCGTAGCTATCTATCCTGGCGTTACCTGGCAAGATTTGCACAACTTTCCCTCAACCCTTCTCAAAATGCCATATACATAAGTACTACCGCGGTGTGACGAGATGCGGGGTAAAATTCAAAAGCTCGACCCCAGCCTGACGTAGCAATTTCTAATTCATTCCAGGACGGATCTCTACATTTGGTCTCGCAGTAGTCGGGGGTGTGGTTGACCTCGTGATGGACCGTCGGTGACTCGGTCAACAGTCAACCCCGTCGGCATCAACAAAGCCCGCCACAGCAGCCTGCGCAACGTGCGAAGCAGGCCTGTATCTGGGACCTTTGAAGAACACCTGCCTCTGGCTAGTCGTTTCTCGCAGTCAATAATTGAAAGAAAACCGCTCCATTCGCTGAGAAATGAATGCGTACCCCATCGCCCAAGGGCTCGTGTCAAAAGCAAAAGAAGTCAGGAAACGAGAGGTCTATATCTTGTGGCCTGCATATAGCATCTTCCCTATTCAGAGAAGTGTGTGTAGACCCTGACTTACCCGGATTCTGAGGTTGCAGGGCTAGTGAACGTAACTACGGTGATGAGGACAAGCCGGACCCTGGCATCTCCGACCCGGAGACCCAACATCAGTTGAACACCGAGAGATCGCCGTAATGCAGACAATACCATACAAGAGCAGGGATAAGATCCCGGCCCGTATTTTACGCTAGACGGGCGTGTTTTTTTGAAGATGACGGCCCCGAGGAGCTAGAACAATCGCCCGTTTCGAGAAGCCTTGGCGCTCAGGAACAGGGTGCCACATACGTAGCCGGCAAGGGCTTCCTATCAGCCGAAGCACTCGGGGTTTGTTTGTGCGACCAAGTGGATATCTTCTGCTGACTCAAGGGCGCCGATGCTGTTACAAACTTACAGTAAGAAGGTTGCTGAAGGCTGAAGCTGCCATGCAGATGCATCATGCTGGAGTGAGGCTTTTAAGAATTTTCCCGGTGGAGTATCACCATCGGCAATTGGGCCCGCTTGATCAGATGACAGCAGACTACGGAGTATGGAACCAAGAGTATACGTACTGTAGGATCGGTAGAAGCGGCATGGCTTGAGACGTGCATTTGTAACGCGATCCATCTGGATACTCTGCATCGGCGGTTGCCGTACTCCGTGCGAAGTTAAGACCAAGCTAACCCCTCCACGCCTTGTATGTGATCCGGCTGCCATACTTCTCGTCTTTCTTCAAGACAACTGTGTGCCGCCATTTCTCTTCATTAACCGCATTTACATACCGACTCGGCTCAATGCAGAATCCGGACCAGGGTCCTCTGGCGGGGTTCTCGCTATCAGCCTCCTGCACATCGATCCCGGCGCCTGTGTAGAACTGGAAGGCTGGGTCGGTGCTGTGCACTTGCAGGTTGATGCGGGACTCGGCGTGTCGGAACTCGGCGAGAAGTCTGAGTGGTTTGTTGCGAGTGTCAATGGAAACGCTACTCAAGTCGCGGTCAACGACGAAGCAGTCGTCAAAGGCAGCTTTGTCAGGACCAAACTCGAACGGTTGGGCGGTGTCGATTGAGTGAGGAGAGATCTGGCCTAGAGGGATGCCATTTTCGAGGGGGAGGTAATCGCGAGTCGCAAGTTTTGCGGTGACGCCTTCTGCGGCGGAGGGGGCGCCACTCAGGTTGAAGTAGCTTTATAGATTATTAGCCGTTGTCTGCAGTTATGGAAGAGCAAGAAAAACCTGTGGTTCGTTATATTGACAACCTGTTTCTCGATCAGTTATGTCCTTTTATCATCAGGCTTGCTCAGCGATTCACTAACCGTCTCTTCGACCTCGCCACCCACCAATTCAGCCTCATATTCTATGTCGAGAATCGAGCGCGGCACCCCGTCTGCCACTTCTTCGCTGACAACATAGTAAACTCTCAGCTCCACGGTTCCGGGATATCCATTGTCCCCGTCAGGGCTCAGATACGTATATAGCAGCGCGTCCTTCCCATCACGTTTGATGACAGTCGGACCCTCGAATTCCTGTCGTCCAAACCCACGGCTGCCCCCGTGCAGAGCGTTGGGTGCATTATTGATCTCGAGTTTGTATTCCTGGCCATTGAGATTGTTGATGACGCCGTCTTTGATGCGATTGGCAACGCGGCCGATTGTAGCGCCGAACCAAGGCTTATTGTACTTTTCGTAGTAATCTTTCTTGGTGAAGCCTTGGACGATGTTTTGGCCGTCGACGTTGAATTCTTGGATGATAGCGGCGAGGTTAGAGAATTTGACGGAAGTGTGGTCGCCCATGTTGCCGCCTGATGTAGTGTCTGCCGTGTCTCTCGACTGTAGTATTGCGTTGGTTGTTGAGTCTCGAAGGGAATGTTGTCCAGTGGCGGTTGATATAGGTGGTGCTATGGAGGGGGGGCTTCTAAATCTACCCCGCAATAATAATACCCGCGACCCATCATCATCGATTTCTCCTACTATAGGTGGCCTTTTTGCTTGCGGTTAAATTGACAGCTCTTATAACCTGAGCTTCACGATTGTTGTATTAGGCTAAATCTTGCCGGGTAAAAAGTTAAAAACATATCATGTTTGAAGTGCCAGGGTTTGGAGGATTAATATAGAGGAGAGATGACTTGGACGATGCTGTTTGTTACCGACAGCGCTCTTTTGACACCTGCATATGTGTTAACCATGATTATGATAGGCACACTTATCTTGCCTCGAGGTCAATCAGAACCTGAGTCAAATCTCTGCAGGTATTAGAGTAGAGCAAAAGCTAAACATACCGGGGTCATTTCGCGGGGAGCCTCCGGCTTTGGATACAAGCTTGAAAGGAGATATGGAGAGTTCTAGGTATTCCATCTATCAATACGGACTACTCCGTACCATGACTTGCATTATTGCACTCCTTACTAACAGTACATAACTCTAGTGGTTTTATCCATGGCCTCCAAGGGCCCAAACTACTGCCTCAGTATCAATATTAACCCTACTAATAAAAGAAGTTATTTTATTATGAGCCTCTTGCAAGGTAAAGGAAAGAGAGATTAAGTATCTAAACCTCTAATCCTTTCTTTATAGCTGTATATCGTATTTTCAGAAGAATATTTTGTACTAACTGCAGACCCCTCCGACGGAATCCATCAGCTCGGTCGGCTGCAGCTCCGCGGATTTCGGAGTCCGTACCTAGGTCTTACTAAGGTATCCTTTGAAAATTGAAATCCGTCCCGCTGACAAAGCCGCAACCCGCAAGTTTTCCAGTTAACTAACTAATCTTTCTTCCCTGTACTTTGTAGGGACTCACCTTTTGAAGTAGGATGTTATCCCTAATTAGTAACTACTATTAGTATAGCTTTTGGGGGAATACATAGTAAGGCGGATGTCTGTGACTTGACAAGCGGGAACTGAATAGCATCGTCTCGGACGCCCAACTCAGCCACCCGACGAACTCGTATACTACCGGATTTGGTAAGATGGCTCGGGCGCGGGCCCCGAGCCCGAGCTGCGCTGCATAGGCTATAGCAAGAGTTTGACAGGGGCCACGATGAGTTGAGTCATCGTGCTCCTGCTCCCCGGCCTGCTCCTGCTCCTGCTCAAATCCCTCCAGCTGCATTTTGCAAAACGGGCAGGTCCGCCCGGGGCCCTGTCGAGGTCCAGCCCTATGAAGCGGGCCTGAACAGTGCTGCAAGGCGTACCAAGTTCTAAGGGTTTGATGATGATGCCTGACGGATCTTCGTCTTTTGTGGGCTGCATGGATTAGAAATCTCTCCGGGGCTTGAGCGGTTATTACCAAGCACCTCAGGGCTTCAGGTGTGCAAATCTGCAAACTTCTTTCTTCGAAGTACTACGGTCTGAGAAGCCCGAGCTTCAAGCATGCTTTCGCATCGACGTATCTTTGAAGACCTGTAAACAGAAGGCAGACGAGTTGGACCTTGATAGTGATTGACGCCAGACTTACCACATTGTGATTTGTGACGATGCTGACGAGACCCACCCATATTCCACACCCACAGTCCAACCTGAACCACACGTCTGGCTCTGGAACCGACCTGCTGTGAACTCTGAAGGCGTGGAAAGTAAACTTACCTCGGCAGCCCGATCTATACAATCAGCCAATGGTTCGGCAGGAATCTATCATCAGACTTTACAGGAACTTAAAAGGTTCTTCGCATGACTCCCCTACAAAGTATTAACCGCCTAATGAACCGGATGACTTTCTTAGCGCGACCAAGTGAACGAGATGACTTTCTGACAGAGCCCTGTTTCGGCCCCGTCACACAACTTGCCTAGTAATTTACTAGTAAAATTATTCTCCGAGGCTCGACCTCGGCCAAACAGAATAGTACCCTTGTTTAACAAAATCGATTCTTCATAATCCTAACTAAACTGAGCATTCTGAAGCTATTCCGAACGTCTAAAAGTTATATTTACGTCAATAGAATGCAGGAATCTCATTGGTCAATTCAAAAAGGGGTAATTATCTGAAACGAATAACTTTGCGCGCGCGCCGCGCGCCCGCAGAGGCCTCGTACGCCTGCCAGTTCCTTCCTAACACGGCCAAATTGAAGCTATTCAGACTGGGGATCGTAGTGGGCGTAGCGGGTGTAGCAAAGGCCTTGTACGCCCGCCAGGTAAAGGCCTTGGTGGTGAAGGAGGTGACGTTGGCCGTGGCGGCGTTCTATTGGCCAACGAGCTTTTTTGTGGGTCTACGATTACTAGCCAAAACGCGGCGCTAAACTCCTTTAGGCCATTTTTGTCAAAAAGTCATCCGATTCACTCGGTCGCGCTAAGAAAGTCATCCGGTTCATTAGGCGAAGTATTAACATACCACATATGTATGTGGAACTTCCTGTATTATAGTATACCGTCTGAGAGAACCCACAAAAATGATATCGCCGGTTTTCGCCGGTTAACAAGCAAACCCTGAGCCAAGTGCCAGTCCCACCCCTCATTGGACCTGATGGGCATCATGGGCCAAACCCGCCGCTAGTCTAGTACTCTAGTTCGACTAGTTTGACTTTGACGATGGGACGAACCTCACGCTGAGCTGCTCCTTCGGCGCCGGGGCAGCCAAGCATTCGATTCGGCTCGGATGTTCGGTATTTCGGACATTTCTCGTCTCTTGACGTATTCTTTGCAGGATGCATCGTTGTTCGGATATACAGAACAAGACCCCTGCTAGGAGTACCTACAGCATTCGGAGCGCAGAGTACAAAAAAAGCAACTTGCGCCGCAAACCCTCAGCCGTTTGCACCGATGTACCGATTACCGAAGCAGTGGATGAGCGTCTTTTTGCAAAAATCGCACATTCAAGTTTGGTTTGCATTATTCAACATGCTGACAGTGACACTGATTGACGGACGGGCCCGGAGATAAGAGCTGACGGGGTTCCAAATTGACTCGTGACGTGCACCAGCCTCCGATTAGTCATGTGTGTTCGACGTCATGTAATTGTTCTGGCTTAAGTGAATTTTTTTCAATTGAGATGGTCGTGCCAAGACAATGTCAGGAACTTGAGGTAGAAGACAATCATTGGTGTAATATCCATTGACATTTGACATTATATACGTTCAGCTCATTATTGGTGAAATGTTCGTCCTCTATAGCATGGCGAGGTATACCGAAACAAAAGGAGGAGAGAGAAATTGGAGAGAATGCAGACAGACAGGTCGAAATACCGCAAATTGTCAAGTTGTACTCCGTATATTTTTCCAACACCATACACCAAACACTAAAGCCGTTGCAGAAAACCGCGGAACCCGAGAAACCTGAAAGATCGAACCCATAGATGATATCGTACAGCATCTTGATAGAGAGGGTGCACTGTCACGACGTAATCTCCAACTGTGTGTTTAGAAATTGGTTGATATCTTCAAAGTCATTCTTGTTATCCATGTTTCCGTATGATCCTGGTATTAGGCATCCCATTGGCATCGGACGGTTGAACATGGGCGAGGAAACGTCATCGTATGGTAGGCCACTATATTGCGCGGACATCAAGTCCATATCATCGTAGCCTCCAAAGCTAGGGCTAGGCCATTGCGGATTCTGTATTTGGGCACTCTGCAGCTCTGACGGGTCCACCACTCGTGGCATGGACATGGTCGTAGCGTACATGTTCGTCGGGGTCATCTGTGGCGGTTCACTCTTGATTGTTGGTTGTGGGACGTCTATTCGGAGCGTCGTGGGTGGACTGGCTGTTGCCGGTGTTTGTGGTACTGTCCGCGCAGCGAAAGGATCTGAGAAATGGGCTGCCATGATGGGCGAGTGTGCGCTCTCGGAGCTGGTATCTGAAGAGTCCTGGCGCTGCATATGTCCCGCGTTATGCTTCCAAAGGTCCTGCTGCATAGCTTCGGCGTGCTCTTCGAATCGCTCGTGCTTACTCGTGTCGAGGGCGCCAAGCTGCGTGAGGAGGTCGTGCGTTAATGGCTGCCCATTGGTTTCGCATTTCAGCGGCTCTCCCTGCCACCCATCACCGTCGAGAAGCCGGCGATATAGTTCTTGCAGGCCATTGACCAGCCATGTCTGTTGTTGCTCCAGTAACTCAACATATCTAAATAACAGTGGTTAACCTCGTGTTCATGTCTTGTACAAGGCCATGGCCAGGCATGCTCACCCCTTAGGGTACACTTTGTCATGGGCCTTCTTCCTCTCGCCGAATACACAGAGGGTGTTGTCTGCCCGACATCTGCTGCACGGTTTGGCTCCGTCACACTGCGCCGGGTCAGCGCATCAGTGGGCGGTGCTTCTGGGCCGATATAAGGACTTTTGCTTACTTTAGACTTTTTGATCCGGCATCTTGTACAAGCACGTGTAGTTCTCTTGCGAATCCCATTTTCTGAGATTGGCTGAGTTTCTGAAGCTGGTGTTGATTGTCGCGCAGTCATTGTTGATGTAGGTGGATATAGATAGAGTCGGAGCCGAAGAGTGGAGAGGGGATTCCGCGCATAAAAACAATCTATCGCAACTCGGTCAAGTCCGCAGTCGCAGTCGCAGTCGCAATAGTTCGGTAATTGGCGGCCAAAGGAAATACGTCAAGTCTAGAGTCGATGATACCATGAGGTTGACGAACCAGGTTGAAGGTGGGATAAGTATGTGTTGCCCTTGGTCACCCAGAAGTAGTAAGCCGGATCTGAAGCCAGAAAGTCTCGTTCGAAGCTTGAGGAGGAAGGCGCGTTCTTTTATTATACTAGCATCGTTTCTGATTAATGCTGACTTGATTATTCAAAGCTAAGAAAAATCCAAATAATTCGAATTAAAAAAAAGAGTAATCATTTCTTGGAATCATAGATGTGCTTCCGGAGATTATTACCGTTCTCCGTGCAAAATTACGTTCCTGCGGTATTTGCATTTACATTGAGGACCATGGCCAGCTGCTTATACTTTCGCCTAGTTGCTTTCTTCCAAGGTCACGGATACCTTGAGCAAGGCTGGACTGGCACTGCGATGTCTAGCTGGAGCTTACTGCCCCTCCAAGTCAGTCACCAAGGTTAAGCAGTAAACCTAGAGGAAGGTTAAAGCCGTTCTCCCGCATGAAACTATTCAGGAGTTGCAATACACTGTACGGAGTACTAGTACGGCCAACGGATCGCGGAAACAATCTGTCAGAGGAACCGAACTCGTCTCAGCTAGACTCGGAGCTCGGAGACATTATTTGCAGCCCAGATGGAGCAATTTGTCGCTAGGCCTTCATTGATTATCTGATCACGAAAACTCCTCAATAAGAGCCGTATATCCGATCTGTGGTTTCTGGGTTGCATGTGCTACAGGACACCTTCACCCTATGCTATAGTCTATGTATTCAGTGCACTGTGAGGCAGAGAGGTATGCTTTTTCATATGGCCTTGGCAGCAGACACCAACTTGAAGCCGAGCCGCGCTCTTGATTTATGCATTCATAGAGTTCACTGAATTCTGCCCAGCCGCCAGGATTCTAGGTTAGCTGGTAAGGTATATCCAGACCTGCTGAATCTGGCTATGCTCCCTCCCCAGTGCATAAGCGGGCTCCGGCACAAGATCGGGCTCTGGTAGCCCTCCATCGGCACGCCTTTGCCGAGCAGTGAAGCAGCAGCGCTATGTAACCATGATTCAAGATTGTCCTGCAGGGGCCCCATGGGCACGGCAACGGCGACGGCAGCACTGACGCTGAGGCTTGAGCACCCATGTCTTTCTACAGCCTAACGGCGGGATCAACCCACCGGGGCCGCCTCCGTACCTCACTAATGACAATTCTGGATAAGTCGGATGATGCTCCTGATGATGCCTGAAAGCTTGACAGTCGTTTGGCCCTGACCAGCTCGCCATTTCACCTGGGACTCACTTCGGAGATAGATACAGGGTCTGCGCCATCAAGGTTCATGAGTCCATGACGTGCACTGTATCGGTGAAAGCATTGCTAGCATAGTACGCGCACACTCTGTCAAGGTATTTTGACTTCATCCTTGCGCCACTCGATCATCGATCGCAGTGGCCAGCCCGATTCTCGCGCCTCTCGGCTACTTACATACTTGTCGATGAGCTAGCTATACACGGCGTACTTGTGAGGCTTTACAAACTCATGTGGTTTGACATAGTGCAATACGACCAACGCTGTGGAGTTTGGGCTGCGAGCTTGATAAACACCAGCAAATCATAGCTTCTTGCGGCGAGTCAGCAACTTGCAGCGACCCTGATACCACCAAAGAGCCCGATCTAGAGCTCAACCAGGTGCAACTCTGCGTCCCCGAATGTGCTGATAAAAGGTTCTAGATCGTGATAACTGGCAGCGTGGGTGTAGTAGTGGATATCGCGTTCTCCGAGTGTTTGTGATCCACCTACGAGTCTCAACGCTATGGCGTCATAGATATGCAAACCCCCCAATGCTAAGACCTCGAAGTCGTAGCGAATGACTTTGGCCGGAATCTACTTGCTTTCTCATCATTCATGCCTATCAAACCATGCGGAGTAGTGTGAGCGGATACATCGTATGTGGTTGCCTGCAGCATCTGGACCTGTCCGGTATGACTTCATTTTACGCTCAACTCGCTTTTGAATCTTTCAAAAAATGACTATACAAGAAGGTAATAAGACAGTTGCGGGAAGTTGGTAATATAATACAAGCATGTCCGTCGAGCTCATCCAACAAAAGGGTATAAGAAAATTCTTCGAGTTTCCAAAGACACGCCCAAAACGATATTTAACAGCACAGTCGCTTCCATCGACTTGGAGTCTCGCCTTCTGACGTATTCATCTCTGGGGGGCTCTCTGGTTTTATCTCAGACTGCTCCGAACTGGTGTTTGCCCGTCGGCCTTTCAGTAGGCCGTGGAATCTACCCTGCCGTTGGTTCGTTTGTTTAGAAAGGGTTGTATCGGATGCTTTCTTCGACACTGCGCCGGTGGGGGGTTTCTTTAGGGAAAACCCCACATGACGGGTTGGCTTCGTTAACTCCTGGTTATGTTGGTGGTGTTCTCGACGGGCTTCCACGACGCGACGAACCAAAACTAGAGCTTGTCAGACTGCGCTGTATGGAGACTGGAACGGGTTCGTACGAGCAAATGTCTCTTCAATGTTCACCATTTCGCGGGCGCTTGTTTCCATGAACCCGCTATTGTGTTTCCTAGCATACTCCAGCCCCTCTCTCGCGCTAATGACACGATTGTCCTTGAGATCGCATTTGTTACCCGCGACAATCTTCACCGGAGCGGCCATTCCAAATTCCACACCTCGTGCGCTGTCACCGAGTTCCCTCATTAATCGTAGGTTGTCCTCCGCGCGTTGATCTGTCTCCATTTCGATCATCTCCATAAAATAGTCTAGGGCGTTGAGGCTGGACTCGCTTGTGATGTCGTAGACGAGAAGGAACGCGTCGGACTTTAGATTTGACGCCGCCCATAGCCCCCGATATTCCTCCTGGCCCGCCGTGTCGGTGATTGACAAAAAATATTGCTCGCCGTCGATGGTGCGTGAAACAGAGTACGAGTCCTCTGGTCAGATCAGTGAGAGCCGAAGGTGTTAAGACTCGCGGGTTTTACCTATGGTAGGGTCATATCTAGATAGAGGACAGTCGTTAGGACGTGGCCAAAACAGTATTCGTATCATACTTACTCATGGACCCATTCGCTGCGAACCAGGCGCAGAGTGATTGAAGATTTTCCTACTATCGATCAGTCTCATGCGCCGACTGCCATGAGGAATTGCATTCTCCAGAACCAGGCTATCGGATGGGTCTGGGAATGTGAGGTTGTCGCACGACATACCGCATCCGCCATCCCCGCATATTGTGATTGCGATCTTGTTTGGGGCGTCTCCCATGGTGTTTATAACGTTGGCCAAGGATGTACACGTGTTGACCAGTCGCGATCAAGCTCAGAATAATAACAGCTTGGGTCAGGCTTGCAAGAAATTGCAATGAGAAGATCGCTGGAAGAGATTGTCGTATGACCGAAAGATGGGATTCCGAGGACGTGTTTGTGCCTTAAGGGGAGCAAACCAGCTTGTAGAACAGAATGTAGACAGCTTGAGCAGTCAATGCTATCAACTTTGACAGTAAGGAGTGTACAGCATGATGATTGTCGAAAGGGATGGAGGCTGAAAAGATAGTGAAACAAAGAAAGTGCCCCTTGAGCGTTTCTGCGATTATCGGGGAATTGGAGATGGTGATAACAGCTAAGGATCATCGTCACCTATACTCCGTAATTTAGGGGACAACATAGCAGATCCAAAACCGCGATCAGCATCATTGCATGGCTAACATAGTAAGCACGTGAAGAGAATCAACCAAATGCACAATTTACTCTGTATGACCTTCAAGAGCTGGGGATGTGGCTGTTGTCTGCTCTGTACTCCGTACATATCGATAATGGGCTTGCTGGCACTGGCAGCAGAACTCTTTAGGACTCACATGTTATGCAGGACTAGGGATAACAAAGCATTAAGCATTGACCAATCAGACTTCAGAATATCTGATAAACTGACCAAGGTCTGGACTCCTGGATCTTCTTCTTCTTCAGCTTCAAATTGAATAACTACCTACAACATGTGATACCCCGGCTCCTCCTCGCCTCTGGTACAATCGCATCTGCAGCCAATCCCCCCGCGTCGCTTTTCTTCATCGAACATTCGAATATTGATTGATCAGAAAAGCTGCTTCGCCTTCCGACACATCATTCGTCCCCTCTCGCGTTCATTGGCAGAATCCGTTCGTCCCGCCCGCCATGGAGGCGGCGTTGATCGCTTCCAATTACTCCGGCACTGAACGTGAGGGCATGGGCGACTTTTCTCTCCTGGCTCCCAGGTGAAGCTTTCACGTTGACCGTGGTGTCGGTCACTTCAACAGTTCAGGCCAGGAATACCTTGTCGGATTCCCCTCAGCAAACTTGTCTCGCCTATTTCTACGTAGTAGACCTATGATTTCATTCCACTTTAGCGTGGGATACTCCGCCTCTCGACCCCCCTCCCCTAATATCATTGCTTTCATGGTGGCCATCTCAAATCCACGCGCCGTTGTATTGCATCCTACCTGAGTGATATCAGGGAAGATTGCGGACAGCTTCCGAGCTTTCTGCATCCTGCTCTCGTCGATTGGCTCGAGTGCCGGATCGGATCGATCGATCGGACTTCATCATGGCCAATCGAGGTACCAGTAACTTCGATGGGGACTTCGATGACAGGCAGTTCTCTGCGCCCCGATCCCAAGGTTATAACGGGAGCCACGACGAGGGTCAACATGCACAGATGGCATCCTATACAGCTTCCGTCCCGGTAGGGGATTATGTTTATCCACTGCATAATCCCATGCTTGCCTATGACGCCACAGCGGACAATTCGATGCCGGTGGGTTTAGGTTCAACAGGTGCTTTCTCATATGATTTCTCTACGTATCCATCCTCTACGACAGCTTTAGGCCACGGTCTAGAAAACTTCGCCTCCCTACATTCACACGCTCCCGGACCTGACAATGCCTCGGCATACCCTAGCTCGCAGCCTCAAGATGCAGGCCCGAGCATGTACTGGGTGCAATCTCATCCTTCGGGGGTCATTGCTCCTCCAGATCATGCATTGCTATCCCGACCAGCTGCGTCCGCTCGCCCCGTAGAACCATCGACGGTCCAGATCACTCAACATGGGCAGCCTCAAGATCCCAACGCTTTCCCTCAAATTTCGGTATCAGGGACCTCTCATCGGCTCATTCAACCGAAGTCGTTGCCAGGGAAAGGTACCTAACTTGCCTTGCATGATTCTCGTTTTTTGAATTGACATGAAAGCAAACAGGTGCGAGGCCAGAAGCTGTTGGGAAAAGTACGCCTTATCTCAATATATATTCCCGGAGTGGGTTTGATATGATGGGTATTTTGGTAGGCCGACTCTCCTTCAACCCCAGTTGAATATTCGATATATATGTCGCTTCATGTCCATGTCTCTCTCTAATATAGTCATAGTCTGAGGTAGCTTCACGAAGTAACCCTAAAATCGACCTCGGCCCAGTGGATCTCTCATGTGCATTTGTACTCTGTGACCTGACAATGGACGACTGCCCAATCGTCTATGTGTCCAACGCATTTGAACGACTTACAGGATATACCGAGAAAGAGATTGTCGGACGCAATTGTCGCTTTTTGCAAAGTCCGGACGCAAAGGTTGAGAAAGGCGAGTCCCGAAAGTTCGCCGACTCCTATACTGTTAGCCGTTTATGCGACGCTGTCGGGCAAGTCGCCGAAATCCAGGTCAGCATCATTAATTACAGAAAAGGGGGACAGCCGTTCATGAATTTGGTGACGATGGTTCCCGTGCGCTGGAACACCACGGATTATTATGTGGGGTTTCAAGTCGACTTGGTCGAGCGGCCAGAAGCTGTCACGGCCAGAAACCCTGGTATGTCTGACTTTGATAACCGTGTGGGCTGGACTGACTGAATGCTAGATGGAACATATATGATAGATTACCATCGGAGTCAACTACCTGCTTACGTCGTCCCTTCTCCGGATATATACCAGGATGACCATTTGCCGGCCACCGCATTCAATTTGAGTCAAGTTTCACTAATCCTCAACGGCATTGCCAGAGGTCAGACAGTAGCTATGAATCATATGCATCATATGCTGGTCGAAAACACAGATGATGTGATTTTCGTGTTGTCTTTTGAAGGAGAATTTCTTTATCTATCGCCGTCATGCCGAACAGTGCTAGAGTACAAGTCGAACGACCTCCTCGGCAAGACGTTATCTGCTATATGTCATCCTAGTGATATTGGTCCAGTAACCCGTGATTTGAGGGCCTGCACCACTGGTGATCCTGTGAGCTTGATATATCGTATTCGGAGGAAGAAAAAAGGCTATACCTGGTTCGAGAACCACGGAGGATGGCACATCACTGAACGAGGCCGACAATTCATGGTCCTTGTCGGCAGACTCCTGCCCATTTATTCCCCCGAGCAGCTCGCCAAGGTTCAGCGTGGTGGGCTGGCAGAGAACGACATCTGGGCGAAGTTGTCCCTTTCAGGAATTATCCTCTTCATGTCCTCGAAATCTCGCGCAGTTCTCGGTCGGTCATCTGACGATCTCAAGGGCAAGCGCATGCAAGATATCCTTGTAAACGACGACTCATACCAGGAGCCAGGAATCCAGCAAGCCCTCGAAACCTCGCGTAACAACCAGCAAACCACCTTCACTCATAAAATCCGTCACCGGAAGGGCCATATTTTCCCTGCCCAAATCACCTTATATCCGGGCGACATAACGGAGCACGCTACAAAACCCGCATTCTTAATCGCGCACCTCCGCTTTCCAAAGCAACTTCAGCTGCAGTCATTAAGCACTGAAGAGCAGAACCAAAGTCAAAGCCAAAGTCGAAGCCAAAGCTCAAGCGACGCCGGCCTTGGGGATTCCAACCCTCGCCAGGCCCAGCAGCAAGTTGAATCTCACCTAAAACCGCACCCGAACTTCCCTCAGCCCACTACCTCCTCCGCAACGATAACCGTACCCTCATCAGCCAACCCCGCTGAATCACCCACCGACATCGGCCCACACCTCTTCGAAGAACTCAACCCAACTCGCGGCTCAAGCTGGCACTTTGAGCTGCGCGAGCTTGAAAAGCAGAACCGCCAGTTGGCGGAGGAATCGCAGCGTCTCACTGCCCGCAGACGAAAGCGAAAGAGAAAGCAAAGTGCTGCGGTCGTGGAGAAGAATTGTGCTATGTGTGGGACTAGCACAACGCCCGAGTGGCGGAGAGGACCGAGCGGGAATCGGGATCTCTGTAATAGTTGTGGGTTGAGATGGGCGAAGCAGGTGAGAAGTGCTGGCGCGGTCCAGGGACAGGAGAAGTCCGGTGGATGATTATAGCTCGTAATACAACCAGGGTGATAACGACGAAGAACTGCTGTATATTAGCAACTTTTACGCTACGTTCGGTTTAATCATATCTGTCGGGGGTTTCTTGGTCTATTGGTCTAACAACATGCTGACGATTTCAAGATATCTATCTGTTATGGATAGTGATTCATTCAGGCAAAATAGGTACAACGGCCGTCGCGACAACAATATTAATGATTAAAAACAGAACCCAGGGGTATATAGGTCAGTCAGTCAGTCAACCAATCAACCATGTCAGACGGAAAAATGAGACAAGAGCCAGCCTAACACCAACGACCGTTAAAGATGCATAATAATAGCCAAGCAACATGAAGAAAGAGAAACAGGATCTTTTAAACTTCAATGTCAACTGTAATGCCCTCCCCCTCACTCGAACTATGCTCATCCTCGCGCTCTCTGTATCCCTCGTCTCCTGTGGTAGGCTCGGAATGAGGTCCATGGCCGCCATCATCAGTGGAAGTCTCCGTTGAGATGCCATTGCGAAGACGCTGTCGGTCCAACTGTGCGCGGAGTCGCCTATTCTCAGCATCACGCTCCTCCAAACGTTTCCGTGCGCCATTGCGATCCAACAGGCGCGCTTCACGTTCTCCTTTGAGTCTGCGTTCCAGCTCATGCAGGCGCTTTATCCATACTTCTTGGTTGCCGTGGTGGTCTGATGATTTGAAGTGCCGTGGGCGGGCTATGGCACCGGCGGGTTCCACTAGGTTTGTTGCGTTTGAGGCTTGGGATAGTTGGGGGATGCCAGATCTTGGGGGCGGTAGTTCGGCGGCTGTGCTGGCACGTACTAAAGGGCCACGCTTCGTCACGTCGATAGTTGATGACCGAGGCGAACCTTCTATTCCTGCCGTGGTGCTATGGCTGCGCGGGTGGGTTTGAAGTAGATTGAGTTCGGCCTTCAGCAGCCGGTTCTCGCCGCGTAGTTTAGAGAGCTCAGGTGATAAGCCTGTCTGGTTTCTAGTCTGCAATTGGGCGCGCATGTTCATCGTAGTTTCCTCTAGCCTGTCAAGTTTCTTGATCCGCAGGCTAAAGGCGTGCTCGAGTGTTTGATATTGTTTTGAAAGATTGCGCTCAATGTCCTTGACGCGGCTCTTGAAGCTCGATATCACGTTCTCTAGGGTCTTAACCGCAAGAAGGAGATTGCGACTAAATCCTGGCCAGAAAAGGATATTTCCGATAACCTCCTGGCTTGGCAGGTTGCCGTTGATCAAGCTGTTTGAATGAGCCCAGTCCGGCCCACACATACCGGACAGTCGCTTCCAGATGGTCAGTAGCATCGAGTTTCGTTCATTTAGCTGCTCGCGGAACTGCTGTTCAAGGTTTGTGAAGCGCTTGCGGTCCTGACTTCGTGCATTTTCGAGCTCCAAGATACGGGAGTTGCTCTGTGTGATTGTACGCGATGCCTGGTGATGGGATTTGAGTGCCTGTTCGAACGACTGCTTGTCTGCACGACGAGCATGGCGTTCGCGGTCAAGAAGTTCAGAAAGTTTTCGAGATTCCAGTCCATGGCTTTCGAGTAGCGCATCGCGGTTTCGCAATAATGACTCCTTCTCGTCCAGCGTAGACCGTGTGCTTTCTAGTTCTAGCGCAGTAGATTCGAGCTCCTTCTGCAACTTCATGATGTTGGCGATCAAGCTAGACCTACTGCCCGTGAGGTCGCCGAGAGTCTCTCGGAGATTGTTCTCCAAATCAGTGAGCCGATCCTTCCACGTAGCCGTCTCAACTTCCTGCGCCGAAAGGCTCTTCCTCAACTTGCGACATTCTTCTTTAGCAGATGATGCCTCACGATTTAGCTCGTTCATGATTCGCTGCACCTCTTGTTTCTCTTTGCCTCCGACAACCTCGCGTTGATGTCTTTCCTCAGCCAGGCGCTCCTCAAGATCCATTGTCTTGTCCTTCTCACTCTGGAGGCTCACTCGATAGGTCTTAAGCTCAGATTCTAGGTCACCAATTTTGATCTTGTCGCCATCCTGCTCTTCCCGGAGGAAGGCAATCTCGTTCTGGCTTGACTCGATTTGGACTGTGAGTCTTTGAACATTGGAGTTTGCCTCATACAAACTCTTCTCGAGCGATTCCATCTCCTCGTTGCACTCTGCAAGCTCCTGTTGTACGGCCTTGTAGCGCTGCAGATTATTCTGCGCGTCTTCCTCCAGTCGAATGATGCCTTCACTGGCAGAACGCATTTCTGCCTGCAGCGCTCTAAGGTTCTCGTCTTGTGTTCGCAGATCTTCCGTGAGGCGTTGACACTCTTCAGTCCTCTGGTCTAAATCGTCTTCAAGAGCGTTTGTCTTCTGGACTAATTCGTCGTCAAGAGCGTCTATTTCCTCTTGAGCTTCTACTCTCAGGTCTTCGAAGGCGACTTTCAGCTCCTCCAAGGCGGCGGCCCGTTCTTCAGATGTCTGCATCGCCTGATCGCGTTCTTGCTGAAGGTTTCGTAAATCTTCTTCAGCTTGCTCTACATCAGCCGTGTAGGCTTTATCCAATTCCTCCAGATTTTGGCGCAGAGTTTGATTCTCCAACTTGAGTGCAGAAACCTGGTCCCGGAGTTCCCCAGTTCGAAGTTCCCAATCTTCGCGCTCCGCATCGTCAATCGGAGACTGTCCAGTCTGGTCGCTGATGCTTGATGAAGGTCGTCCTTGTGCTCTAGAGGCAGACCTATCCAGTATGCTGTCGCCCGCAATTGATAGATCGCGGCGTTGACCAAGTTTCAGCTCCTCGATTTCCTGGTATAAGCGTTCCTTCTCTCGGTTCCGCGACGTCAGCATCGAAGCCTGAGCGCTGACCTCTCTCCGCAATTCTGCATTCTCCTGTTTCAGTAAATCAAGGTCCATTACAAGGGTAGAAGTTGAAGAGCTTCCAGCTGCAGCGGTGCGATACAAGTCTCTGTCCGAAACGGCCGAGTGTGACGCCAGCGAATCACCACGGTTACGATGTCCTGTTTTCAAGGGCGCCGCGGGAGCCATGGTGTAGCTCACCTCGCCCTTTGCACGCAAAAGTTCTTCTCGTAATCTCTTGTTTTCTTCATCGGCCTGTTCGCGAGCTGCAGTTTCCGCATCCAGCATGTCTTTCCACATGTCCTAGAATGTGTATTAGCACAAACCCCCTGTTAGTAGTAATTTCGACTTACTCTCTCCTCTCTTGCTCCAGAATCAGACCCGGCCGGTCTGCCGTCATTAAGGGCCTTCACCATCTCTGCCAATCTCCGTTTCTCGCTCTCCTTCGCGATACTCTCAGACCTTAGCCGTTCAATTTCCAGCTCATGCGTCTCGATTCTCTCTCGTAAGAATATCAACTCCTCGTCCTGAGTGTGGTCACGATCTTCTTCGTCGGAGCAACCTTCCGGGTCATGGTTCAACATTGACTCCTTATCGGATTTCTGGTCCTTCAATTGCTTCTCCAAGTCGCGAATCTTCCGCTTCAGCCCTTGGTTATCCTTCTGTAGCTTCAACTTATCTGATTTTAGCTCGACGTTTTCAGAGATCATCTCTTTGATTCCTTCCTCGGAGCGGCGGTTCAGCGCTTCGTTGAGGAAATGTATCCGCATCTTCAAATCAAAGTTCTCTTTCGAAAGACGGTCGATTGTGCTGCTTTGCTCTTTCAAAGTCATGTTTCTGCCACTGCGGGCGAACCCCGGAGTCATTCCAGCCCCTCGCTTGTCAGGAGACACTCCATTGCTAAAGTCTTCACGGAATTGCTTCACAAAAGCGCTAGGGACTTGGACGTCTTTGACCCGTTCTGCGATCGCCGTGTCGGTGGGAAATGCTTGCTCGCGAGGTTGAGCCTTAGGCGTCATGGGTCCGGAGATATCATCAGCAGGTTCTGTTTGCCCTTGTTGATCTAGCGGTTTCTGATGGGACGAAGCAGGGCGCGACTGGGACTCTTCTTCATCCAGTGTCTGGAGGCCGCTATCTGTAGTTCCACTCATATCTCGTCTATTCATAACGTTTTCATCGCTATACCCAGAAATACCAGAGGCCATACTGCCCAAGCTCACGGATCTGGCCAGGTTGTTACGACGGGATCCCGCAGCCATATTGCCGGGAACTGCACCTCCCGATTGAAGTGCAAAATCAGATGCACCTAATGTTGCATCACTGTTGGTCACTTCGGTTGCATCGCTTGTTTCAGAAGAGTACGAGAGACGATGTGCTGATTGGCGACTAGTCAGATATTTGGGGCGGTTACTCCTTCGACTGCCTGTGCGAGATGCAGCATCCCCGTCGCTGGTATTTCCATCGCTGAATAATCTATGATGCGTGGCAGGAGGCGGTTGGAACTCCTCCGTTGATTGCATGGACTGGTTGGCGCTTCCTATCGAGCCGTGAGCGACCGGGTAGCCTGGTGACATCTGACTGGACTCATTGACGCTTTCGTGCGACGGAGAATAATTCCGATTCCCCATGCGAGCTGCTGCGGCTGCGGCTGGCGACGATGGAAGCGCTTCAAGTGTAGTAGTATTTCCTCCATAATGCTCTGGCAGAGCCGCCGGTGATCCATCCAGATTCATTGTGTAATCGTCTGTAGAACCCAGACTAGGACTATGTTGAATGGGGACGTCTTCATTTGTGGATGTAAGGACATGGCTGGACTCGTCCCGCTTCATCCAAGAGGGCTCTGTGAAATCCAGGGCATGTGCATTACGCACGCCAACGACGTAGGTGTCGTCTACACCAGCAGTACGATCCGCAGCTACCACTTCGAGAGTTGAAGGGTCCGGTAGGAAACTGGACTCAACATCAGCCAGTTTTTTCTTCATTTCGGCCTCCAAAAAGGTATGATTATCCGCGCCGCCTTGATCGCTGTGTTCCTCGAGACTGCTATCATCGTGATCGGGTAAGGGTGGTAGTAGATCAAGACTGTGCGCTGTATCGTCGGGATCTTGCTGCTCAGAAGCAATTGTATCTCCGTCGTCGTCGTCGTCGCCGTAATTCATGGTGGAAGTTGCGGCTTGCGGTGTGTTGTGACGATGATCATCTCCGCTATCAGTGGTCGCATTCATTGTTTTCGGGAGGGTTTCCCGCCGCGTATCCTCCACCATGTAATCCAACGGGTCGCAAAATTCGTCGTCGGCGTCCACTGAACCGTCAGGACCCGAATTTGTAGTACCAGAAAATGAGAAAAACGACGACCGGCACCGTTGATGCGCGTCGGCGGCCGCGTTGGGTAGAGCGGAAGTGGTCGACATGGTGACGGAGCGGAGCAGAAAGCGTCACAATAATATAGTACCCTATCTAGTCCTTAAACAGTTAGTCTGGATGCTGTTGTGATTTCTCCACATCCTCTCAGTGAAGCTGAATGGGCCAATCATGGATGGCATTCTTGGGCGACTGGTGAGACAGTATCTTACCCATTTGGCACAGCAGAGAGTCTACTCAATCTAGCCCTTTTGGCAGGCTAGACCGCAGGTAGTAGTCGGTTTTTTTTTGCCTTTTTTTTTTTTTTTTTTTTTTTTTTGCCGGGCAATAGCTTGGTAATATTAGGGTTTTATTCCCTTGTTTTTTTTTTTTTTTTTTTAGTTTTCTTATGATGATGGATAGCCGGTGAAGAGAGTGACATCAACCAA